AGTAGCGTGCCATGTTTATTTCTCACTTCACCTTAGACCGGCGGTGTCCTCTACGCAGAAAAGGGACATAGTTCTTAGTCCTGTGCATCAATCCTTCTCTGACTTTTCATTATCATCATCATCATCATTATCAGCCTATAAGTGCCTACTGCTGAGCAAAGGCCTCTTCTCACACGGAAAAGGTTTGAGCATTAATCACCAAGCTTGCTCAATGCGGGTTGGCGATTTCAAACTTATAATTAGAAATTATAAGTCCAGGTTTCCTTACGATGTTTACCTTCACCGTATGTCAGTGGTACCGTAGCATAGGTCAGCCTCTTACTTTTGTTAGGGACATTTTATGGTTAGATATTGGAACTGTTATTCCAGTTTTAAGTTTGGAGAAAGATCATTGTTCGCCACAGAATATGTCTCCTTGCCAGGTTTCAACAGTTTTACTCTTATGTTTTCGGAAAATGCAGTTTTATTTTTATGTTTGTTTTGGCTGTGAAGTAAGTACGGAATGTCTACGGAACCCCAAGTAAAATGACTTCACTACAACAAGTGAAAGATGGACCATTCATCGTAAACCAGCTGCTTATAAAACGTTCGTCATACTTTTGTTTTATATTTATCGCCATTATGCCATTCCATTCACTGTGTTATTTTATTTCAACATCTGCATTTTATGTATTAACTAGAGGCTAAAATACCTACCTACTAAACATCTTGTTTAAAGTTGTTTATAGTATTTCATATATTGACTTGAAATTCATAGGTTCTTTCATCCTTAAAGTTTTTATTTTACATACTATAATGTGGGCTACATAAACCATATAATACGAGTAAATGCCTATAATTATATTTGATGTCATTTGGTAAGGACACCTTCCAACATAGTAGTACTTAGTCATTTTATAGTAGTGTACCTAGTAGTAAACTAAAATAATTGATATTTAAGGTTATTACAGTTGTGAAAAAACCGTATTAAAATATCAATTGGATTATCTTATCCCAAACTATAAAATGTGAAAAAGCGGCACTACAATATCGAATGGATAATCTCAAGTCAACAAGTCAACTTACAAGATTGAGTAGGCACATATACATAAGTTACCTACTATTTACTTAAATACAACACGATTTGTCTTCACTACAACTCGGACAACTTCATAAAGCCAAACCAAGGGTCACAGAATCCTTACAAAGGAAAGGGGAAATCGAGTATATATAAAACATTATCTAAATACGTGCAATACACAAAACACAATTATAATGTTGAAACAGGACCAACATACTCGTAGCTAGTGTGCAGTCATAGAGAAAAAAAGATCTGCGCCAGATGACCACCTCTTATCGAGAACATACGCCATAATAATTTAATTTCATGCCCACGAACGTTTAATCATTTCTCTCTTTAATAACTTTTTATCGCAATAAGCAAATGACGTTCGATTACATATGTAAAGTTACAGTACAGACGACAGCAAATCTGTTAAGTAGATACTCATTTTAACCTGATTGGACGAATTGACGATTGACATAATATTATGAGTACCTAAGGTTCAAGTCTTCTAAGAGCAGTTCTATATAATAAAACTTGTTCCTAAAAAATTAAATTTTATTTACAAGGTAAGCTGAGAACTTTTTATAATTTTACAAACAGGACAGGATAACTCAAGGAGTACAATAAGTCTAATATTCCTGTACTTATTGTAGGTACTTGGATAGCTTGGTGTATTATAAGTATGTGTACCTTTAATGAATAATTTTGGTATGCAATTTCTGAATAAATATTATGAAACAAATTTACTGAAAGTAAAGACTTATTCACGTGAATTTGGCCAATTGGCTACACGACGTGCATCGCCGCGACGCGCACGCTGCTCATGAATAAGAGTCCCGTTGTGATTTGAAATTAGTAGAGCTTTCCTCAGTTCATTCTCGTGAGTAAGTCGTTATTTTTAAATAAATTTATTTTGTCACAAGATAGTTAATGAAAATAGAAAAACTGTTATATTAGATCTAGAATATTGCCTGAAATAAACAATCGCCATATTTTTATCCTGGGAAATGAGTAGTAGTGTTAATGTAGATAAGATGACCCCAATCAAAAATACATCTATTACCAAATATTTGTCACTAAGAAAATAGATTCATGCCTATCTGCTGCCAATTACGGACAATATTGAAATAGAATTATTGAATAAAAGTAAATATAAACAAACTATTTCCATTCAAATTGACCACCATTAACGGTTGTAATGTCAGTCTATTTATAGATAGATTATGTGTTTTACCTTTAAATAGCGTGACCTTGACATGACCACTATACTGATAAGGTTATGAACTTTTGAACCTGAACATAGACAACTCGTAATGGCATAGAGGGAGAAATGTCAAACATAGGGTATTCTGTTTGCATGTAAACATAACTTCATTATAATAATTTCTGCTGGCATATTAATAGGTACGCTTCTACTTGGATATATGATTATGTATAGAATGTTTGTTGTGTAAATAATTAATATTGAATAACAAGGCGTTTCAATTATTTAATTAGGTTTAATATAGTATTATTGGGCTTTTCGTATTTTTTTGTTTTAATTTACCCGCTGTGTCACAAAACTAAAAAGTAGGTACTTGTTACATAGAATAAGAGTAGGTACCTCAAAATCTTTAAATTTGTGTCATTAGCTAATGAGATTTTAATAAGATAAGCCGCTGTACTACATATTATACTTAAAATAAATTTACACTTAAATCTTTAAAACTACGTAACCGATTGATGGATAGATACAAAGGTTTATTTGTATAAAAACATCCATTAAATAGTGGAGACATTTAGTATCGGTATTGCACTGTGCGAACCTGGTGTAAATAATAGAACAAAATAGTAGGTACATCTCAGCCTTCTGCGTACTTCGCGGATATTTAAATGTTAAGTTGGCTTTACCATTACATATGTATTGTATTACGGTGATAATGAGTGCTCTAGCTAACTCATTGTTACAAAGGTTCTAATAGAATTATGAAGTTTTCGTTACATAGACCGTTACATTGTCAGTAAATATTTACGAACGCAGGTCGACAGCCGTAAACGACAGATTTTCCAGATAAAACGTTACTTTTTAACATCTAAGTACCTACAAGTAGCGTCGCAAGCGCAGTGTGACAGAACGGTATCGAATTAGCATCGTCAAGTAACCGCAATGTTTGACAAATAAGAGTACACTCAAATAATACAGTTCAATGAACCTTGTAGAGAACTAAAAAGTAACAATTTAAAAATGGAAAGAGTAATAGACTGATAGACATAGACAAATTCGTTTTTTTTAACCAGGTATGTCTGAGTACCTATTAGAGTTCAGACTCTGTGAGAGTAGAGTAAGACTCTTACAAGTTGTTGCTCTTTTTGGTTATTATTAGATAAAAATCATAAGGAATGTATTATGCTGACCTAGCACCCGTCCCAACGTAAATTGTAAAACAGTGTCTAAATAATACGTGATCTACATAGGTACATTAGGTATTTTTTTAAACATTATATAGAATTATTTGTAGGGAGTGGAGGGCAATAGTCATCCAATATATTATTATTTAGGTGGTAGGTACATAATTATGTCACCAATGTGGATATTAATCAATTGGCTTAATAAGCTATTTAGCTTACTTTTTACTTATACTGTTAGTTAAAGGGCGAAGCGATTGTCATTAGAAATGTACTGGTATCAGAATGGTAGGTTAGATTAGGTTACAACGATGTCCCACTCAGAAATAAACAATTACCAAAAATATGCTCCAATTTCGCTAATTGAATAGTCTAAGCTCTGAGCCGTTAAATGATTGACTTAAATGTCTGATTAGTTGGCTGCGACCTATGTACTATAACCAATGATATGACCCAAAGCTATTTAAGTAAATAAATACTCTATGTAGGTACCTATGTATCTATCAGTCATCTATCTGTACGATCTGTAGGTTGACCTAACAGACAAATGATCTGACATAAAGTATGCCAATCACTTTTTGTATCATTTATATGAGGTTTTTTTATAAATAATTTATTTTTACTTATATTAAGTAATTGTTAGACTTATATACCTACGTACAATTTTATTATTTATTTTCTTTCTATACAGAAAATCAGTTGTGTAAATATAATTTAACCTGAACAACCTTGGTGATGTTAAAATCGAGGGCACACGTATTAAGCGAAGAAATCTTTATTTACTTCGTTTGCGTATTAAATTTAATTAAAATTTGTATTATTTTATGTAATAATATTCTATACGGATTCTCAGTTTACTTCCATTGCATTGTACACAAATATTTTAGGTGACTTATTAACATTTTTGTTTCTAAAATCAACGTATGGTTTTTGTCTATTATAACGAAGAATTGTTATATGGATCATGTGGATGTTTGGTGATTTGGTGAGTAGGAAGTATAAATAACTAATGGATGCCTACTTAAAAAGTGCCTTGTATTATAAAGTATTCTACAATAGATAAGGTACTTACAATGTTTTAAACCTGTGCCTACACTACCTTATTACTCGGCATTAATTAGGTATAAATCAAATTTTATAGACACTAATGAAACTAACGACGAGAACGTCTCCTAGACTCGTGATTAAATTGTAAATGAGGAAATAAACGATAAGATATACCTACATTATATATGCACACATTTGGTGCCTATTTTAACATAAGTATAGTACATAATACTCGATGCCTCTTTTAAGCCACCATTAGGTACCTATACATAATTAAGTACTTAGTTTAATTTTAACAATCAGGCAGTAAAGTCCCTACGTTGTAGGTACGTACGATATACCGTAGTAGATATTTTCATTCAGAAGTCGTTTTGTACCACACTTCAAATACCTAGTATGGTGGAAATACTGTTCAGACAGACAGTGCAGCAGCAAAAACACTTACAAGAATGTCCATTTTTATGTAAATCCTGCGCAAGGAATTCAAAGGCACTGCAATAAATGTATGATTGAATTGTTACAGATGTCAAACATATTAAGGAGACGATAGCTAGGGGGCAGGGATGCAGGCGGCAGCGGTGTGTAGCAGGGTGCTAGCTAGTGCGGCCAGGGTGGGATAGCGAGCGAGACTGCGTCAGTCGGCGACACTGCACCATGTGGGTGCGAGCGGCGCGCACGATCCGGGCGCTGCGCAGGGCCGCGCTACTGTTGCCTCTGGCACTGACGGCGCTGGCGCTGCTGCTGCTACCGCGTCCGCCATCGCTCAACCCTGCGCCACACAGCCCCTCCCCGCCCGTACCTCCACCTGCTCTCGGTGTCAACATTGAGGTAACTTTTATTTCCCATAAGGACAAGATCAATAATAATAATTGTGATTTTTTTTATTAAAATTTAAATATAAAGAGAATTGACGAACTAATTTTGTACCTACCTTTATATTCAAATACAAAAATAAAAAACAAATCGATGACTTGTACCTAAGCGCAATTAAAATAGAACAATAAGAGTAGGTTAATATTTCTGGCGATAAATCCTCCGTTCGACTAAAAGACATATACATGTATAGGTAATCAGTACACTTAGGTAGTCATCAAATACGCATAAGGTGGGTACGTAAGGAAGACGCTGCATATTATGTAGATACCTAATTCTTAAAAAAAACTTACGAAAATAATCAGACTTATTCAATGAATAAGTACCTTATAGCCACTAAGTGCCTAGGGCGCTAAGTTATGGAGGGACGCCATAGACTATAGAAATGAGAAACCCGCACTGCCTTAAGTCCGGCGCTGTCATGTCGCCTATGGTCGCTCAGGAGGTTTAATTTGATCCACCTCTGTACGTACTTATTAATGTGGTAATGTATATGCAGAGGTAGGTACTTACAATAACTAAGGGCAAGAAAAATGATCTGTAAGTAGGACAACATTATCACATTCTTTACGATATTTTTAATTACCCGTTCCTTAAGTCATGGTTATTAATAGTCATAATCAGAATCGCACTTTCTTACTGCATTTGTCCAACGTACAGTGCGGCCGACGTATCTTGGCGAGTCTGAAGTTAGGCTAACTTCAGACTCGCCAAGATACGTCGGCCGCACTGTGTGTATGTAGGTACCACACCTACCTAGATAGTAGAATTTTATGTAAAGCATTTTTAAATGTAGGTACAGTAACATTACTTTGTTGCAGGATCAGGACCGTACCCCCTTTTTATTAAATTTTATTTATTAAAAAGGGGGTACGGTATTTAAAAATTATTATGAATAATTTGTTTTTTAATAGCAACCAAAAACTACTGAGGTTTTAGACTTGTGGTACCTACCTCGCTGGCACGTTAGGTTTAACGTTACCCGATTAAAAATAAAATAATCGGTTTGATAAAGATTTCGAAGTCCCTTGACCTTTTAGTACCTTACAGTAGGTGCATAACCTGCTTAAGACTTTTCTAGGATAATAGGAAGGAACATTCCAGAAACTCTTTTAAAACAATGATAGTGTAGTAAAATACACGTTTAATAACATGAATTGAAAATATAAAACATTTCTTTCACATACAACACTATAAATTTTAGACAGCACGTTTCTTTGCTTCTCATAACAGCAAAGTAGGAAGGTGTGAGTAATCTTACTTATCTACTTATAAAAAAAGCCATGCCAAAACAACAGACTATCACAGAAAAACCAAAGCCAATACCAATATTTAATATATACAAGCGACACGCCCCGGCTTCGCACGAATGCAATGCTGATTCTCCACACGATGTTTTTATATCGGTATCGGTTGGCGCGGTGGTTGGGCAACTGGCTGCGGCGCAACGTATCGCGGGTTGGATTCCCGCACGGAACAACTGTTTGTGTGATCCACAAATTGTTGTTCCGGGTCTGGGTGTGATGTGTATGTGAAATTGTATATCTGTAAACAAATCCACGTAACAGTAGAAACTACTAGCGTGGGGCAACGTTTAAAAAAAACAAAAAAGTACATATATGTAAATCTTTCTCTTCAATCTCCCTCTATTTAATAAACAAACGGGTCCTAAAATCGTTGCGTAGCATGAAACAAAGTCACTTTCATATCTAGTGATGCTTACCAATACTTAGGTAGGTACCTAAATATAAGTTACAACCCATTAAAGTGTCTAATTCGAAATCTAAATCTTTTAATTAACAAAATACTCAATATATTTCTCATAAATTCAGAACGCAATAACGGAGACGGAGTTTGCAGCTGTTCAAGATGACGGGACGGTTCAACTGCCTTGGTTCATGCGCGGAGGAGAGAGGAGGCCCACACAACACGAACCTAACGCTCCACTCTTCCCTGAAGATGCACCTGGTCAAGACAGGTCAGTTATACCGAAACTTTTTTTCGTTTCTATAAAACTCACCAATATACAATATTATGTTAGTCATTAAACTCTTACGGTGCTTCGGTAGGTAGGTAGCCCCTTCCTTTTCTATGGGATAAGTCGGTAAACGAGCAGATGGATTACTTACTTACTCGATAGTAAGCAATTGGCGCCTCCCATGGACACCCGCAACACCAAAAGAGTTACGGGTGCGGGTATTTAAGGTTCGGGAAGGGATAGGGGAGGGGAGGGATTAGGCCACCGGTAACCTTACTTACACGGCGAAACACAACGCTGTGCTGTGGTGGTATTTGCGCTGGTTTTCTGTGACTCCGGTCGAGCCGACCCATTCGTGCCGAAGCTTGGCTCTCCCAGACTTAAACATGGACCTTCCCACACATCGCTGATATTTATGAAAAATATAGTATTTTTTTAACATTCCAGAATCGTAAACCAATTAATGTATACGCTACCAAAAGACGAAGATGTACCTATAAAGAAAATTCTACTTGCAAACGGATTTGGAGCGTGGGGCGTGTCGGGTGGCAGAACAGAATTCATTCGGAATAAGTGTCCAGTAGATCGCTGCACGCTCTCATCGGATGCACGAGATGCCGCCACCGCTGACGCTATTCTTTATAAAGACCATCACACACCTTTCAACGTTAAACGTTCCCCTAAACAGGTAAGATTAATTCATACCATATAGCTCTTCCTAACATCAATCCACTCATCCAATCCAAGAGTATAGACGGGTAAACAATTCAAGAAAAAGTGTAAAAAATAACTCTATGATCAAACATTGGGAATATTTCATATCAATAGCTATCCTAGTTTATGCATCATTTGGGAAGATCTGAACCTTTCTACAAACAGCTTTAGCTAGTTTATCCTTCTAGAAAATGTATCCTACTTTGACGTTCCAGATCTGGATCCTCTACTACTTGGAGTGTCCATACCACACTGCATCGTTACGGCCATCGTCTGTGGACGTGTTCAACTGGACGTCCACCTACCGTCGGGACTCCGACATCGTAGCACCCTATGAGCACTGGGTCTACTACGACCCCCTCATAATCGAAAAAGATCTCGACAGAAACTTTGCTGCGAATAAAACTAAAAAGGTTAAAAATATTTGTTACTTTTTAGTGTTTAGAAGATCCTGACTAGAGTGCATAAATAATAGGTACTTATCCCTATACTTAGTTGTAAATAAGGCGGAACCTGTCATTGTAGCAAAAAATAAAATAATCTTATCTCTATAACAATCTTAGCTTAGGCAAGTACTCTCACCTTGCTAGGTCTGCTATCAGTTAATTAGGTACGTTAACCTACCTAACAGCCGTAACGTTTAAACAGAATAATTTCAATAGGGAACAGAACATACTATATATTCAACGAACATTTACCTACGAAGGCGTTTGTTGCATGGAGACCTCGTTTTTTTGCTGTTATAGTGGCAACATAAATACAACTGGGTTTTTTGTTGTTCGCAAGTTATATTGATTGACAAATCTACTTTACAGGTGGCGTGGTTTGTATCGAACTGTCACGCTCGCAACAGGCGGCTGCAGTACGCGCGGCAGCTCAGCAAGTACATCCAGGTGGACATCTACGGGGCATGTGGAGCACACCACTGCCCTCGTACTGACCCCAACTGTCTCGATATGCTGGATAAAGACTACAAGTTCTACCTCGCATTCGAGAATTCAAACTGCCGTGATTACGTCACTGAGAAATTCTTCGTTAACGGACTGCAGTAAGTGTGGTTATGTCAGAGGCGGATTAAGCCTAGCGAGCGACCTAGGCAGGCGCCTTTTAAGCGCCTCTAATTTCTTTTATGAGATACCTTTCCTATGAATACTGATCTATGAATACCATTATCTATTTACGCGAAAATATTCTGTCCATAGGTACTTACCTTATGTTTTTAATACTAAGTACCTATTTGTTACTGTAGATAACTTTTTGTTTTTACCAAGACTAAATCGATAGCAATATCAGTCTAATCTTGAACTGCTCTTTTATATTATACTGATGTACTATTTACAGACACAACGTGCTGCCTATAGTGATGGGTGCTCGCGCTTCAGAATATGCCGCTTTAGCGCCCCACAACTCATACGTCCACGTGGAGGAGTTCGCTAGCCCTGAAGAACTCGCCGCCTATCTGAGGCGCCTTGACGAGGACGACAATTTGTACAATTCATATTTCAAGTGGAAGGTAAATTTTGACTTTGGGCTCATAATGTCTTATGCATAAATAATTAATAGGTATTGGTACTTATTTAAGTTGTCTGCACAGTTATTTTAGACATAAATAAATATTATTATTTTAATAGGGTACGGGAGAGTTTATAAACACGTACTTCTTCTGCCGCGTGTGCGCCATGGTGCACGCCAACGAGCGGCGACAGCGCAGCACGCACTACGCGGACGTGCAGGCGTGGTGGCGCGACGGCGCCTGCACCCGCGCCGAGTGGCGCGCCGCGCAGCGCGACACGCGCGACAACGGCTAGCGACGCGCGCGTCGCGCCCACGCCGCGCGCCGTCACCGCACCGCTCGTACGTTACTGCTTCGAGCCCCACCCGACCGCGGCCCGGCTCATCTCCAACGTCAGAGTCGCTGAGCCCGGGGGCTACCGATGCATTAAATAAACTTGTACCTATCGTGTTACGAGTCGAGCCGACATTTGTAATCGCGTCCAAATAGCATAGCATACAATTGGTAGTAGTGGTTCTGTTGTAAGTCTTAGATTGCCGGTGTTCGGTGTTCGAATTTCCCCCAAGATATTTTTGTAACATGAACTAGTGAGGCGTAACGAAAATGAAATTAGTAAATTTAATATAATAAATAAATTCAATTTATTGGCGCCCAACATGGTTCTGAAAAAATCCTTGTGAACGAGTGTCTCTATTAATTACTTTCCGAGAATCATAGTGGAATCGCTTTGCATTTAGTTAAACAATAGCACAAACCATGTATAACAATGTTTTGGGTGTGTAAACATTCCATTGTAGTTTTAATTTATTTACCTATTGTTAAATGTTTTATTGACTTAATAACGAATTTTATTAGATTTTTAAGACGTTTTTATATATCGTACCATTTTTGTGATTGTTTTTGTAAATTATTTGAATTATGTAAATATTTTTGAATTATTACTTATGTAGATACTACAAAAGCGACTTTAATATTACAAGTTTATTTTTCATCAAATATAATACCAACATCTTTACTGATAGCGATCAGATCAAAGCTGTTAACATACTTTTAATTTTGTATGTTAATTATGAGATTTATAAAGTTATTTGGGCTAGACTTGAAAACATTTGTATGATACATTTTCATATTTTTGACGTAATGATGGTATGTAGGTACCATGGAAGCCACAGACTCAGTATTATGTACTTAATTACTTACAAGACAGCTCAATTATAAAGTCTAGTCATGATGCCATTGTTTAAGCACAAATACCAAAAACTAACATTTTGCACAATTGCACAAAAATAAAAATTTTAAGAAATATTTTATTAAAAGGTTTTATATTTTATAATAATTATTCATTTTTGCACTTCTCTAAGAAGTTTTAGAATATTATCACTTTGCAATTATAGATAAAGTTATAACTTGTTTTCTCATTAAAGTTGCTAATTGAATTGTGTTATATTTCTATTGTTGTGTTCTGTTATGTTATAAAGTTACCTTCACCTCTAGGAATGATATTGCTGCAATTGAACTTTTATTTCAAGAGATAAATAAACATTTGCAGTACATTTTTAAGGGATGGTGGTATGAAGACTTAAAATGTAACTGGCTGTTAAAACAGAGACTGAAAATCTTAAATGATGTTATATTTTATGTTTGGGGAAATTGGTAAATAGGTGAAATAAGTTCCTTGCCATAAACAATAAGTGCATCTGCAATAACTACTTACAGGATATTTAAAACCCAAATATAGGCAGAATACAAAATCTTAATACAGCTAGTTTTGTCCTAATGAAATTTAATGTTTTTAAAATATCTGAATGTTTAAAATAAATGTAAAGATCTCAAATTAAGTGTAATACCAATAAAACATAAATCCTGTTTGTTAACATAAGCATAATTGTTATACATTGATATCCTCTTGTGAAAGTTGTATAAGATTGTTTCAGATACATGATAATCATTTGCTGGGATCATGTTAGTTATAATCTCCAGATGGTCATTCCATTTCTGTTATTTGTGTACCTAAGGCCAATATTATTATAGTTAAATATTATAGACAATCAAACATAAATGCTGTTAGGAGAAAATCTGTTTTTAGAACATGAATATATGTATTACAGCAGTTATAATTATATATATTTCATTGTTTAATAACAAAATATGTCACACCAAAAATTACTTTAAGTAAATGGAAGAGCTGATCAATAAATATTTCATTGCCTTAAACAACTGTTTCTCTACAAAGGCATATTTCTATACATAGCATGTTGTGATTAAATGAATATATTATAAAAATAAAATGCTTATTGCAGTACAATTAAGCCATCAACATGACACTTAGTGTTCATTTCACCAATAAAATAATAAATAACAATTGAAACATAATTTGTTTTATTTACAATGCAACAACTATGAACACGAAGACAAGCATGACTGACACATAGACAATGCTTGAAACACTATAGATGACTAGGTTAGCTTGTTAGATCCAATATACTGTTTCAACATGTTAATAAGCTTCAAATTGCTCTGCAACTGTAGCTGAACATTTACACATTCTACAACAAAGTTAATTCCGTTCTGGAATATATTTTGAGCTTTATGCATGTTCTGTGGAACTAACACACCAAACCAACGAAGAGGATTAACAGTATTCTCTGCATCATTTTCAATAACTTTCATGACTTTAACTCCATCTTCCTCAGTTGTTTCACATATTGTAGAAGCCGAGAAATCAGGGCTACTCTCGGTAGGGAGTCGTGCTGTGCTCACAGAGCTCTGACCCATGATATATCGAGATTTTGCTAAATGAATACTTCCATTTTTGATACTGCTCTCTATGTTTAATTCACAACGCATCTTTTCTTCCATCAAATGCAATTGTTTTAAAATTATTTTATCAAGCAATTCATTCGCAACAGCCTCGGTTGGATTACCTGAATCTACAAAATAAGTAACATTTAAGTGTTTGTTAGATGTGAGAAACCATCAAATATTATTGTTTACCAACGTACCTTGCTCTCCGGCCATGATTATTAGTTTCCGTGTATTATGTTTATAAATAATGAAAGTCCTAGCTGGAGATACAATTTTATATTCTCAAAATAAAGTATTTCATAAAATATAAAATTATACAAGCAAATAATTCTATCTTAGACATTGACATAGGAAATATATGGACTTGAAATACCTACGAAGAAAAGGTGCATACCTACAATCCAAAATGTCGCATAAGATGGCTGCCGTTGCTAGGGTTGTGCCGACTAAGTATTTAACGAGTATCGATACAATTTGAGTATAAGTTTTACGTAGGTATAGTTTTAGGGATTAGCCAGCTGATTAACGGTATATTTTATGGGAAATCATCTAATGTCATCTCCGGCCCTTTTCGTGACAGACCGTTACTGACTAAAATCAACTCCTGTTCCTACTTTACCGTCGGCCTAGCTAGAGCCCGGAACCCGGGGTTACCTTGGTCTCTTGATTGGCTAATGATTTTCTCAAGTCGAATTTGTATTCATATAATTCTACGTAAAGCGTCTTTAAAAAAAAAAGGACTGTGTTTATGAACAGCGTTTAATGGAATGGTGAAATAGAAAAAAGATAGTGTTTGTTAAATGTTTATCTTTATATATGTGAAAAACCTGTAGGAATTTGTGAAGTGCTCGCGCACAATTTCGGTGTGTCTGATTAAGCGATGATATCTTCGAAACTACGTTAGCACAAAAAAGATAAGTAGTGAAGTCAATCTTACTGTATGTATCTCACTTATTAAGCTTGGTGGTCCCACTGGGATCGCCGCCAACGCCGCTCTGTCAATCGCGCCCGGATAATTATAAAACATGATAATTTGAACTTCTACTTATGTAACTAAAACCAATACCAAAATATTGACGTCTTACTTTAGCCTTACACAAAACTGAGGAAACATCCATTGCTAAAATAGATTATTTAGGATAATGTATCTTGAATTTTAAATGGGAGATTATATCGATACTTTTGTGGAATGGTACGTAACTATGCCATTTTGACATATTATTGTAAACAACATTTTTTTACTAAAACTGTCTCACAGACAGAAATAGAAGTAGATATATATACTTTGGCAATAGATTCAAGTATCCGTAACATTTTTTTCTATCTATGTGGATTATTCTAAGTAATATTTGATGAAAACTGTTTACTAACCTATACAAAGACAATTGAGGTTGATTTTCGTTCTTTTTTGCACCACACTGCACAATACAACACACAGGCATATTGTATTTTTGTTTCACTATATATGTTAGAAGTTTAAAAAAATGGTTCTTTGTAATTTACTGGAAAACCGCAATAATTTAAAACATAAACAACCGTTTGACAGCACAACTACCATGAAACTCAGGTACTCTGAGCGCTTAAGATGGCGGACATGGCACTTACCTACAACTTTGCTAATGTCAAAATGATTTGTTGCCATAATAAGCAACAACTTAAATATTGTTGTCCCTTTTGTCTAATACAATTATTGCCTAAGAAAGAGTGAGAAAAAACTATATTTCATAGTTTGTTTCATATTTCACTCATATTTGTATAAGCATGTATACTTCTATAATAACAGGGCGCCTCTATATATTTTCTATCTCAATGATCTTAGACGATGATCCTCCTAAATACAAATATGTCAGTGACAATTTGACAATGACATAAAGTAAAGTTTGACAACAATTGACAGTTAGTCATGTGATTTTAAAAACTTGTCATAGTCTTAGAACTATATAGAACTATTAATGCCTCTATGGTCAAAGTATAATTCAAAAATAAAATTGAAACCCTATTCTAGAGCACCTGCCTTGTGCCCACTTAGTTTCGAAAAAATTCACAGTTGTGATAATTCATTTGAAGTTTCGATAGCTATGTTTGAGATAGATTATCCAGATTTAGATATTAATTAAGTATATATACTGCAACGCTAGGATGACTGACGATATCCGCAGGGTGGCTGGCAGTGGTTGGATGTGAAGAGCTGACTGAAACTGAATATCGAGCTCAGTGGCGTACAATCAGGGAGGCCTATGTCCAGCAGTGGACGAAATCAGGCTGATGATGATAATGATACTGCAACCAGGAACCGATGACTATTAACTTAGAAACAGTATGTTGTCTATGGTGCATAATTGCATATCTATCACAATAGGTACCAATGTTAGCTTAAAACCATAAAAAAAAATTGCGCCGCCATCTTAACATTTTCGTCACTCGTGTGTGGGAATATTGGTTTCTTATATTATAGAAAATTTATTGAAGATATAGTAGTTATTAATAGAAACATTCTCAAAATAACATCAAGCGATGTCGGACAAAAAGCGGTTGCTAAACGACCTCAGAGTTATAGACTTACGGGCAGAATTAGAGAAGCGCAACCTAAATAAAAGCGGTGTTCGCGGTGTGCTCATACAGCGTTTATCGGAGGTAAATATGTGACGTGTTTATAGTTATAAAACGCGTGTTATTGCAAAAGTTATCAACATTATCATATATTTAAATACACAATTCTTTTTAGCATTTAGAAGCTGAAGGGCACGATCCTGCAACTTACAAATTCGAATTGGCTACTGTAGAGGCCAAAACTCCGGGTAAAAGAAGCAGCCGGTCGGAGAGTACTGTTGAACAGGAGGAAGATACGCCGGCCATGGAAGATATGATTGTACAAGATGACGCAGGAGAAGAAGAAGAAACAGAGCAAAGAGATGCAACCCCAGCTAAAACCAATCCTCAAGCTGAAGACAGCATGGAGGTCGAGGAACAAGAAAAATCAAGCAGAAAAAGGGAGTTAAAGGAGGAACCAGAGGCCACAGAGGCTAAAAAGCCTTGTCTTGACAAAGATACAAATAATGAAGAAGATCACAAACTAGAGAATAACACTGATGCTGAGGACAGCATTAACTTGGATATTGGTGATGATGAACTGCTTAATGAAGAGGTACGTTTCTATTTCTTCAGTGTTACAGTTAAACTGCCTCTGGTCACCTCCAAAATATCAAATGGGTTCATGATGGACATAGATTAATCAATCATATCTAATTTTTAAGCAATCTATATACCAACAAAGAAAATGAGTAAATATACAGTATGTTTATATATGTACAATTTATATGTATAAAAAATATACTTATAGTATTATAAGTATCTTATTTTTTTAATCATCTCAGTTTGTCTAACATTACTTGCTGAAACTGCTTTTCTACCTAGTCTCTGTTTTTAGTAATTATATTTTTAGTATGATTCTGGAATAATGCCAAACATCTTAAACTAATATTGATGTAATTTGTTGTGCATGTAACTTTACACTAACCTTGTTTTTAATCTCTTTCAGACTGAAAACAACGCCAAACCATCTAAGAAAGGTAAGCTTAGAACTTTAATTACTTTTTTTTTCTGTAAATACATGCCTAATTTTTAGATCAATAAACCATGGATTTATTGTGATGATAAAAACTCCACTAAATATTCAAATATTAAAGAATAATATCAGAAACTGAAGTAATGTGTTTAAAATAAAGTCTTCAGTATGTGAATTTGTTATGAGCCTACTTATGTTGCAATGTTTATCCAAATGCTGAAAATAAAAAATGTTGCGGTTAACAAGAATGGAAAGTTACACATCAGAAGAAAATTTATAATAAAATCCAGCAAGGTTGGTGCAATGAAACAGCTGCAACACAGAATGCAACCAAAAACTAAAAGAAAGAGAACAAATGAACTTGTTTGTAATTCAGGAGGAGTACAACTGAAATGAGCCCAGACTGAGGTGACTTTCTTTGCAATGATGTGGTGTTTTGTATTACTTAAGTAGCAGGGAATTTCCAATCACTGCAGCACTCCAGTGTCCTACAGTCATGTATGCTTTACTATGGACATAGTAGCTTATAGCTGCTATGCTGCCCCCATATCCAGATGGTGGTGTTAATGTCCAATCAAGTTTTCAGGTCAGGATATTTTGTATTAACATCAAACAAGTGTGAAAAACGTGAAGAAATTCGACACGGTCTAGCTGAGATAGAGAAGAGGCAGGGTGGGCCGCTCCCGAGTCTCGGCGAGCGACCTGCGCTGGCTCAGCTGATAACCGCAACTGACGTAGATGAGGCTGCGGAGGAGGAGGAGGAGGAGGACGCGGCCGAGCCATCGAGCGACAAGTCTGCGCCCGCCGACTCTGCAGCGAATGGTGACGGCGAGCCTGCCGACGATCAACATCAAGTAAACTCCGAAGCCCCCGCCACTAGGTTGGTGAACGTCGAACGGCCGCCGTGTCGCCGCCCACGCGCATCTATAACTTCGATTATTCCGCCATCCAATACTTTTCTTTCGTTCTCACTACAAAGTTTTGCACCAAAACGTTTGGAGTCTAGCTGCTCTGCGGAACTGACTACAGCTACCTGCCAACTGTACTCTACAAAATCCGTCGTGCACCGCGTCGAGACCGGCGACGAGCTACAGTCTGCTATGTAACCTTGGATGCTGTTGCTGACATCTACTTGCGGTCCTCGCGATATCTCAACGGCTGCCGACTGCTACGCAAGGGGCTTGAGGCGACGTCTGCATTTCTGCTGAAGCTGTCTTCATTACTGGCCCCGTGGTGGAGTAATGGTGCAAAACTTTGTAGGTGACGAGGGTCACTACGGGAATCTAAAAAAAATTAATGTCACCGAACTGCACATTAATTTGTGGAACACATGATAAAAAGATTTATGTTCAAATATCCATACCTTAATAATGTATTGTTGTAAATGCACATTTTTGTTTCATTTTATTGGTTATTAATTTATTGGCCTGTTTTTTCAGCAATGAGGATGAAAAACATGAGAAAGAGATAAAAGGTTTGTAGTATAATAATTTATGGACATTTATTTATTATAATTTTAGTTCCTGTAGCAATAAATAATTGTTAATTTATTTTTAAAGAAGAAAAAGGCAAAGAAGCAGATGGCGAAAAGAAAGAGAAGAAGGAGGAGAATAAGGAAGGTGGTGCAAGGAATTTGTGGGTCAGTGGACTGTCCGGCGACACTCGCGCTAAGGACTTGAAGCAACTCTGCAGCAAGCATGGAAAGGTAAACATTGTTTAACCAAGGCAACATAATTAATGTTCTTTGGCTCGTTGTTAAACTTAGAAAACATATTTTGTTTCTAACTTGCTATTTTCGCCTTAGGTGATTGGAGCTAAGGTGGTAACCAATGCAAGGACTCCTGGATCTCGTTGCTATGGTTATGTCACTATGGCAAGTGCTCAAGATGCTGAGAATTGTATAAAAAACTTACATAGAACTGGTAATTATTGTAATATTACACATAAGGTTTTCAGTATACAATTCAACAATATAATTATAAGTCTACAAAATGTGATGTATGTTTTTTTTATAGAATTGCATGGGCGCATGATTTCTGTTGAGAAGGCTAAGTCAGAATCAGAATCGGCCTCACGACGCCAACCTACCGCGCGTTCAGAACGTCGCCCTAGCAAGGAACGTAAAGAGGAAGCTAAAGAAAATGAGGTAAACACTGATCATATTTGTATAAAAAAAATAGATTTATTTTTCTATGTCAACGCTAACAAGCTTAAGCCATTAACATTCACGATCTAAAGCACAAGCAAAGCTCTGTACGGTATGCAAGGTCACCATTTCCCTTCACAGCAATCAACTATTATTCTATAATCCTCAGTTTTCTTAAATATTACACCCAGACCTGTGTGTTTAGACTCTGCTTATGAGTAGTCGAAAGACAATAATTAAAAATAAAGTAAAAGTATTCATCAAACAACAATGTTATTACAGGACAACAAAGAAGGTATCGAAAAGACAGGTGAAATTAAGGTGAAGAAGGAAAGTGAAATGTCGGGAGCAGAAAGTACTCGGTCCACTTCACGAACACGTGAAAAGTCACATCGCTCGGACAAGGTTACAAGAAATTGTATTTATTATAAATACCATTTTAAGAAATCTAGGTTTACGCCACTAGTCTTATCTACTATCATAATATGTATGAGTATGACAACTTAAATTACTGACAACAATTGACAGGATCGTGCAAAGCGGAGCACAAGAAGCCGAGAGCGTCGGCGGTCGCCTCGGGAGGTTTTGTCTTTTTCCAAAATTTGGGTTAGTATGGGTGGGTGGGTTACAAACTTCTCAACTAAAACACCAAAACACTTGTTGGAAAATGATTGTTTTGATACTGAAGGGACATAAAAGATGATGTAATTCGTTATTTTGCATTTATTATTGTTTTTGTTTATGTTCTAAATGTACAGTAGTGAAAGAACGTAAGTGCACATACACAAACAGAAATATCATGCATCTCAAGTGTTTTGTTGTTTTTATGAGATTTGTATTTTTAGTATTGAAATGCATGCAGTAATGGATGAACTTATTTTTTTAACTGCATGCTCATTGGATGTAGGGCCCTTTTAAATGGCCGGTTTGGAAGGGGAAACCTGATTTCAGCACTTTTATAAAGATAAGCGAAATAATGGCAGTCTATATAAAAAAAATGTGCTAAATAATTAACTGATTGAGTTGTTAGCGTTTGTGCTGTGGCACGTTTGAGTGACGTGAAAGTTGTGACTGTGTTTACGTTACTGTAATAAAAACGAGCTAAGGGTGGTGATGTACGGTACAGAAGGAGCGCGACGTGGCGCGTGCCCGCGAAAGGTCGCGCGCGGCGCGCGAGGAGGAGCGCCGGCGCCGCGCCGCCGAGGACGCGCTGCGCGAGCGGGAACGTCGCCAGCGACAGGAGAAACATCGCCTCGCTCTCGAGCGAGAGAAACTGCGCGCTGAGAGGTACCAATATAACAACTCTTGTTGTCATTTTTTACTGTAGCTTCCCTTATACTTAATCCATCGTAATCCTACACTACAAGCAAGTTTACTCGGTAAGCTAACTTTAACTAAACTTTTATTTTGCAGAGAGAAAATTGAACGCGAAAAGAACGAGCTACTTCGTTTGGAACGCGAGCGTCACAGACTTGAAAGAGAGAAACTCGAATTGGAAAGACTGGAACTGAAACGTGCTCAACTAAGGTATGATTTTGTTTCGAAAATATTATAGGTAATTGTAACAGCAGTTGACTTGAGCAGGCATTTAGCATGTTCGATAAAATGTGTGCTGTTTCAAAATTGTTTAGTTATTTGAAGTTATCGTGAATTCACAGGCTGGAAGAGGAACGTCGCAAGCGCGGATACGAGGGTGGCGCATACCGTAAGGCGGGCAGTCCGCCGCCCGAGCCCGCTTACGAGCGAGACACCAGGCACAAGCGCCCACCGCCGCCTCCCATAGTATGTACCATAAAATTCTATCTCTTTAGCTTCGTTTAAAAAAGGTATTATTAGCTTCTATCTATAAACCGACGTGAAACAACCACGAGTTTCGCTGTGTGAGTAAGGATACCGGTGGCCCAATCCCTCCTTAAATATCCGAAACCTTATTCCCAAAAGGCTGGCATTGCACTCGTAACTCGTTTGGTGTGTTTTAGTTGCGCATGTCTGTGGGCGTGATTGTTGACGATCAGGTAATCCGTGCGCTAAAATAGGCATCATTTCATATATCATGGATTGTTACTTTAAAACAGATGAGATTCTTGAAACAGCAAATTATAAAATACTGACGGTTGGAATGGCGACTTTCCTCACGTTTGATATTTTTCACTTACATAATAAATATCACCAGTCATCCAGCCGTGGACAGTTCGAGGCGCCGCCGCCGCCTCGGTTCGAGATGACCGCAAGTTATGACCGCGGGACTGACAAGCGGGATCGCGAACGTGACTACAAGCGAGATTATCCTCGTCATGTTTCATGTAAGTATTTCACTCTATTCGTCTTTACCAAGTTAAAATCAATTGAAGATATTTTTTAATAGTTCATTTTCTCCCTCTGGTGTGTACAGAATTCAATTATTCATTATAATAATAAAGCAATACTTTTTCAGCTAGTAACATGAAATACTCAAGCAATGGTGGAGCTAGTGAAGATTCCCGGCAACCAATGCCACCCGGCACCAGGCCTAAAGAGCCCAGGTATGAATTCAATTACGTAAAATGTTAACTTACGAATTTAGTTTTAAGAATCTTACTTACCATTTGTTTTATTTCCAGCCGCTCATACGAGTCTCGTGACAACCGGTCATATCGGCCGTCACCGCCTGGAAAACCAGAACCGCGCAGCTGGAATGCGTCTAGTCGCTACCCTGACGCTGCACCGCCTTCTAAAGGTAATTAATGGGTTCATACTAATTGGACACGCGTCATTAAACCATTAGGTACTTAACAAGGAGCTGAAGACTACTGATCTTGGTTCAATTGTTTGAATAAGAATATTTACATGCTTATTTATATATACTTAATTGCATAAATTCACTAAGAAGAAAATCAATGAATACTATGAAAGAATTTTCTGATTACAATGGGTGGTCTTATCACACAAGGCGAATTCTTTCAGACAGATCGAAGACCTTTAGATGGAATTGTATAAAATAAACTTGGTCATAGGTAGTGATGTGTATAATTAAATCAAATATTACATAAAGGTATGTGAATTATTTACCATAAAAAAAGAACCAGTCATAAAAAAAGAAGTAGAGTGTGATATATTGTCATAACCAAAAATAAATCTGTTTCCATATTTGTGTTTTTAGGCAGTAACGGTAGTGGTGGAGGCGGCGAAGCTTGGTCGAGCGGTGAGGCACGCTACGGCAGTTACGAAGCTCGCTACGCGCCACAGTACCAACCGCCACCGCCTGGCGCGCCTTACCCCGACCGCTATGCGCCGCCGCCTCGCGACTACCCGCGAAAGTACTAGTCACGTAAGTACCAACACATTTCCCAAAGTAATTTCTCAAAATCATGACTTAGCATTTTCCCACCCACACTCACGAAAGTTTTCACCTCAAGTTCATGGTTCCCAAAGTGACCTAGGTCTAGGTATCTGCAAGGCTTGAGTTAATAGATTGCTTATGGGCAGGCATTCTCCATTAATATTCTGATACTTTGCCATGGTTGACCTAGTGACATGGATGGAGATCCTATATTGACTTTCTCCCCTGAAAAAGAAATTACGTAATATTTTGCTATTCTCAAAAAAAAAGTTAATTTGTGTGAATCCAAAACCAATGGCTTATTGCCACTAAATTACAATGGCACAACTATAAGTTCAAAACATTATGCATAATATTTAAATCCTTTCCAAATACTATTTTTATATTTTTACAGGTTTTTTTTATTCTCTTTTTACAGGTTTTTGGACAACTTTTGGCGATACGGTTTACGAGTTAATTTCCTATGTTAGAGTGAATGTTATTATTTTATAATGCACACTTTCTTAGTTCAGAGGGATAGTATCTATCTCTGAATAATATTGTACGTGATATATTATGTTACATTTTGTAATTACTTGTTGCAACAATTTAAGTAATACTATTTTTGTCAATGGTGTCACAAGACTTTTTTAGCCTATGAATTCCTCGATTTTTAAGGAATATTATAGGATAATATTTAGCTCATTCCTTTATAGACAAGTGACGACTAATATTAATGATGATATCATTTTATTTGGATCCTATTCTCTTAAAAGTTAATATACATATTATTTTCCATGTATAAGATTTAATAAAAGTCTTATCTCCAGACTAGCTATTTAGTGCTTATTATTATTCATGTACGCCGCTATCAATTTTTTATCATGTAACACTTGACCAAAATGAACTAAGGTATAAAAAAATGTACAGTCTACATAAATACATAATAATATATTGCTAAATGTTTGTACAAAGTTACATTGGATATGATAGGCTAATACGAATACATTGTACTGTTTTGTGTAAAGTATAGATGATAATATGATAAGTAAAAAAAATAATGATAATTTCGTTTTATTTACTTAAATCAACAACCCATTATTTAATACCCACTAGCTCTAGCTCGTTAAAGATTTTCCGTCAACGCTCGTTAACTTTGAATTGAGTTTGTCAACTAGTTAATTCTAATTAATAGATAGTAACCTATCTAGGGTTCTAGATGAACTGTCCTACACGGCTCTTTAGCCACGCCAGAGACGGCTCTTTAGCCACGCCAGAGACGGCTCTTTAGCCACGCCAGAGACGGCTCTTTAGCCACGCCAGAGACGGCTCTTTAGCCACGCCAGAGACGGCTCTTTAGCCACGCCAGAGACGGCTCTTTAGCCACGCCAGAGACGGCTCTTTAGCCACGCCAGAGACGGCTCTTTAGCCACGCCAGAGACGGCTCTTTAGCCACGCCAGAGACGGCTCTTTAGCCACGCCAGAGACGGCTCTTTAGCCACGCCAGAGACGGCTCTTTAGCCACGCCAGAGACGGCTCTTTAGCCACGCCAGAGACGGCTCTTTAGCCACGCCAGAGACGGCTCTTTAGCCACGCCAGAGACGGCTCTTTAGCCACGCCAGAGACGGCTCTTTAGCCACGCCAGAGACGGCTCTTTAGCCACGCCAGAGACGGCTCTTTAGCCACGCCAGAGACGGCTCTTTAGCCACGCCAGAGACGGCTCTTTAGCCACGCCAGAGACGGCTCTTTAGCCACGCCAGAGACGGCTCTTTAGCCACGCCAGAGACGGCTCTTTAGCCACGCCAGAGACGGCTCTTTAGCCACGCCAGAGACGGCCGTGTGTGCCCAGAGTCGAAACAGGCTTGTGTCTGAAATCTTGACTTCTTTAGAGAGAATCTCAGATTGGGGTAGACTTAACTAGTCCAATTTAACCCCATAAAGACACAGGTCTGTGTGTTCACAGCTAAAAAACTGCCGTTGGTCGTATCTCCTCAATTTCAAAACACCCCCTCACAGTCTCGGCCGGCCGGTATTGGGATACTTCGCGTCGACATATCGAGCGAAGTCCAGTTTCGCGATCATCTAGAGGGTAATGCCAAGTAAGCCTCGAAGAAGCTTGGTGTGCTCAATAGATCGAGGCAGTATTTCGACCCGGGGCATCGCCTGCTAATTTACAAGGCGCAAGTTCGGCCCCATATGGAATACTGTTCTCATCTTTGGGCGGGGGCACCCCAGTACCAGGTTCTCCCTCTGGACCGCATTCAACGACGAGCTGTCCGAATTGTTGACTGCCCTATTGTCTCGGACCGGCTGGACTCTTTGACACTACGTAGGAATGTAGCCTCGCTATGTATTCTCTGTCGCATTTATCTCGGGAGTGTTCTGAGGAATTGTTTGGTTTGATCCCCGCCGCGTCTTTTCGCCATCGTTCCACACGAAAACTTTTTCATCCCCATGACATAGATGGTTGGCAGTCGACAACTGTGCAATTCACCCGTAATTCTGCCCCGCACAGCACAACTTTGGAATGATCTTCCGGCGGCGGTCCGATAGACCTTCAAGAAACGAGCGTACTCCTTAAGAGGCCGGCAACGCACCTGTGTTCCATAAAAAAGCCAGAAACGGCCATTTAGCCACGCCAGAGACTGCTCTTTAGCCAAGCCAGAAACGGATATTTAGCCACGCAAGAGACGGCTCTTTAGCCAAGCCAGAAACTGCTATTTAGCCACGCCAGAGATGGCTCTTAGCCAAGTCAGAAACGGCTCTTTAGCCATGCCAAAGGCGGCACTTTAGCCACGCCAGAAACGGCACTTTAGCCACGCCATAGACGGCCCTTAGGCCACGCCATAGACGGCTCTTAGGCCACGCCAGAGACGGCTCTTTAGCCACGCCATAGACGGCTCTTTAGCCACGCCATAGACGGCACTTTAGCCACAACAGAGACTCCAGAGTTCCATACCAATACTGCTGTGATTCCGCATCAGGAATCACAGCCGTATTTGTAGTTTTCTATTTTTAAGTTTTAATTCTTTTGTAGCTAATAATACAGAATAAGTTGTAACTATCTAGTAATCTGTGAAACAATCTAATTGGAAGTATGGGTGTCATCGTCGTCGAAATAAAAACTATGATTATGTTTCAAACATTTATTGATTTATGTAAAATACATTCAAATAATCACATAATATTGAAGCATATATTTTGTCATCTTGAAACAGTTGTGAAATAAAGACAATACTCAAAACTAAGTAACAATGTAGGCGGATTTTTGTGGCTTTAAGTTACCTACATGAAAATAAAAAAGTAAATGGATGTGTGTACATTGTACATATATAACATTTTAATACATCGCTTAAGGAACAACACCGCTAAAATAAAACACTGACTAGTTTTACATAAAATATTTCAGAATATGAAATAAATTAAATTCAGAATATTAAATAAATTAAATAAAGCCTTAAATAGCTCTTGAGGATGTTGTAAATAAATTTAAATAGCTAGTAGGTATGTTCTTTTTCACCATTCTATTTAGCTAGAAAAAGTAGTAAAGTTCGGTAGCTGCCAATATTTAAGTATGGCTGGACAACCACACAAACATATTCGGCGTTTAACTTAGTTTTTCTTGTCTCTGCGACTGCTTATCAAAATCTGGAATCTACACGAGAGAAGAAAGATAAGTTGTTACCAAAAACTTTTACCCCTTTTCTGGTTTATATTTTTCTATTGATTCGGGTTAATTTGGACAAGATGCGAAAATGCAGTGTTGATCCTTATGCATCGCTAAAAGCAGTTGAATACAGTTGCTTACATAGCATACACATGGCTGAGCCACTTTTTTCGTAAAGTATCGAGCGTACCGCCTTTTCGCTCGTAATTTAGCGTAAAATCTTATGAAAGAGTAACAGAAGGGGGGAGCTATGTGTTCTACATATGCAAGCCTTTTGTTCTTAATGTATGACGCTGAGTTCGTATGAATCAATCCACACCTCGCGATCGAAATAATTGTTATAAAATTTTATCACTGAGAGCATTTCATAGAATAATGAAGTGTTTGTCAAAAATTTGCAAGCAAACCTTCCGTGTGTCTATCGTTATATACAGCGAAAAAGTTAACATTTAGCTTTCAAAAGACAAACCTAAAATATATAGTAAAACAACATTGATACATCAAAATAAAATGAAAATAAAGGGCCAATTAGTAACTAAACATTCCATTTAAGAAATATAGTGTGACATCACCTTTATAAAGACCATGTAATTTTATTACTTGGTATAATCACGCTTTGCGTGTATTGTAACTTAGCAACTAATTAAGATGTAGTACGCATTACAAAATCATCCACCACCAACTTAAAATATAAAAATGCCCTCGCAGCTTCACACTGTTGCCTGCAGGTAATTTATATTTTCGACAAACATCCCGCTTGGTGTCGGAACATGTGGGTTTGTTGCAAAATCTGCGTGTTTGTCATAAGTCCATGTGTTCACGTTTTTGTTTCGCGGCTCAGAAATACTCACGTTGAGATATTTCAGAGCCTCGACTGCAGCCTGTTGGCCCTGCACTGCGGCGAGACGTAGTAAACGTATAGCAGTTTCTTGATCAGCCTTGAGTCCGCCTCGACCCTGTCCGTAGTAAATGCCTAGATTGTACAGGGCTTCAGGGTGATCCAGTGAGGCGGCCGATTTGTACAGCTCCATTGCCTGAGAATTGATTTAAGACAATTTAAAAATAATTTTAATGTCTTTGTTTTGAATATTATTACTGTTTTAGTTGATATTCTTATTGTAACTTACCGTTTTTTCATTAGCAGTTACACCTAAACCTTTTTCATAGCACAGCCCCAAATTATAAATGGCTGGAGCATGGTTACGTTCGGCTGCAGATCTGGAAAATCAAATCGACAGTTTGAAAACAAATATTTGTACTTTCATAACTCCTAAATCCTTTAAGGCTGATAGTGACAATCAAGATGGCTGTGCGCCTGTTTAATGTAACACTAACTTTTCTTCTGCTATATGGATTTTTGAAAAACAGTGATCTCTATCGAATGAAACAGGGAATGAGAGAAAGGTAACACGTACTGTAGTTAATATTACAGTTCAAATTTCAAATTCAAATTTATTTATTTGCAAACTAAGTGTATACATAGGTCTTATTGCTAGTGGCACTTAAAAACTTAGTAGCCTTTTCCAGGCATTGCAAACATACTAGAGGGTAGATACTTGTTACTAATATTATACTTATTAATAATTAATTAGAACATAAATTTACACAATTAAAAGAGATCATTTTTAGTGGATCGCTGTATTAATATTAAATAATATTTCTGAGTAGGTAGGTACTATTATAAAATTTATATATTTGGTCATCATAGATATGTATATTATTTTCTGCTTATTTATGTAGTATTTTTATATATATTCACGTGTTTTTATAAATTAATTTATTTTTATTTATTTACCATTTAGTTAAATTATCGTTATTTATTTATAGACATATTTAAAAATTCCTCTACCGAATAAAAGCATTTGTTTATTAGAAAGGATTTCAGTTTTCTATCAAATGTTATTAAGCTGGTTTCCTTTTTTATATCTTGTGGCAGGTTATTATATATTTTATAGCCATATATTTTGGACTTTGGTTTAACATTTTAATTCGAGAGGGTGGAAGATATAGTCGGTTTTTGTGGCGGGTGTTTATGTTGTGTATATCTCGTATTTCAGTGAATGTGTGAATGTTCAGTGGTCACGAATACCGAATATTCGGTAACACTGTTGGCCGAATATTCAGCGGTGGATTATTTAATGGCTAAAGAGCTGGATGTTCATTTAAAAACAATTCGCCTAGATCGGATGTCTGATCCCTACAAGTGGTAGGCAGCAAACGATAAACAATCGACAAACAAAACCAAACATTCGAAATCTGCTGAAGTTTATCTTTCTTCTCCTGGAAGTAGCGTAAACAGTGCGAAGTATATTCCGGAAGCTGGTGTCATTTCGAAAAAAAAAACGCGTAAGCATTTGCTACCAACAAATGCTGAAATGATTGTTTTTATCCATGACAGGTTATCATTGATCAATTATACGTTGTGTTGTAATTTGGTAATGAAAACATATATATAAAAATAATTTTGAGTGAGAGACGTGCCGTTGTTTCGTGATTTGGTATTCTGCCGAATAATACGTATTAATTGGTCGAAATACCGAATAACAAAAAAATGTCTGAATAGGCCGAATACCGAATAATAGCCGAATACTCGTGGCAACTCTAGTTATTATTTATTCAAATAATTACCTTAATAAACTTAGTCCATCTTGGTAGTGTCCACTCTCAATGGCCGCTAAGCCGAGTCTGTTTTCAATTGAATTCAGCACATCACCCAAGTCATCGTCAGATGTTTCAGAGCTAGAATTGCTGAGTGTTCTTGTTACACTTGTTTTCTGAGATAAATTCTCTTTGATTGATACTTTAGGTAACTCTTTCTCCGTGTCATTAGGCATCAAATAAACAGTGGGAGTAAATTCAGAGAACATCTTCCCAATTTTGGAAATAGATTCAATGTAAAAATCATTTTTGTTTACACTTGATATGAATGGCTGGACACAATTCACCAAGCTGTTTACAGGGACGCATGCCTTCTCTTGAATGTCAAGAATCCTGCAATGCTGCTTGATCTTAAAATGTATCATTTGACTAGTATACCATCCCAAAACTGCTGCACCACTCTGTAAAAATCAATCATGACTTGTCATAAAATTGTCCCTGATTATAGTTTGGTCAATAAGAAAATTAGCACTCTCAAACTACAAGAGACAGTATATTGTACTTGTTTGTACAACATATTAACATTATTGCAATCTTGGAAGACCAAATATTATGGGATCTTTATATCATCCTAGTGGGCGTCGTTTTATTGCTTTCTGTTTCCAAAACTGTTCACGTGGTTAGAAAGTAGAGGTGAACGAACACACACATTATTAAGTAATTCTAAAGTATGAGCAATTAACATACCCAGGTAATAGCATCCACCCAACTTTTGTTGAGGTGTTGGAAGCCCCATTTGTTGCTGTTAGTGCCTTTATCGTCATTGTACGATTTGCAGCATTTGCGAAGTTGAAGCCACTTACAAGACGGATTTTCTTCATTATTTTCCTTAACTGTTTCCAATTGATTATCCTAAAAAGGCATCTAAATGTAATTAATATGCTGCTTCCTATTTAATCTTAAAACAATATTTCATTCAATGCACATACATAATATTGATCCTCAAGCAACACATGTAAAGCATATATTTACATAAAATAAAACAAGTTAAAATATGGCAGCCATTATCTTGTCGAGCATCAAAATGATGTGTGAGTTTGTATATTCAGATTAGATAAAAAACAGATTAGGATCCGCATGCAGAGCTGGCTTATCTTCCTATTGGTATAGTATCAAACAAAACAAACCAATGATCTGGGAGTCATCCAAGTTTTTTCTGGGTGGTCAATGCTCCATTTCATTTCATTCTCGTTTTGGTATGTTTCACAGCGAATTGCATGCCACTTACGTGGTGGACCGACATTTTTCTCATCTCTCTCATGAAGTTCTTTCATGCGATTTTCCTACAAATTATTTTAAGTTAAATTGTGAAAATGGAAGATTAGATAGGTGAAGAAGATTATATTGGAGATGGAACTTAAATATATTATGATGAACTAAGGTTGATTTTTGAAAATGAGGAAAATTGTTTCTTTTGACAATGAGATATGGATATGATGATTGAAGAGAATGAGCACGAGCATGAATTATGGAGGAACAGATTTTTAATCTATATTAGGTATCGTTGAAAAATGAGCCAACTCCCAGTGAAATAAGACGTAATGGATGAACTTAAGTCAGAAAGAAGATAAGCCATAAAAATAGTAGTGACAAGAAAACTATTTAATTTGAACAAAATCATACACCATGCACAATTATTTATATGTATTTAATTTAGTCATAATAAATTCTACAAAGAATTAGTAAAAAAACTCATTCATTACGCAAAAATAAAACTTTTGTTTAATATTAATTTAGAAATTAGAAATACCAAGCAGTAAAAACTTTTATCACAAAATTGATTGCATGACACATACCCATTTTTTGGGGTCCATCCACATCTTTGCAATTCGAGCTCTATGTTCCCTCCATTTTTCGGCATCAGGACCTTCTCCTTTCTGGAAAGATCGACAGCGGAATCCACGCCATTTAGATGGAGGCCCCGGCTTTTTTGCATTGTTTTCTCCTCCTTTTTCAGCACCATTTTCCTGTAAAAATAATTACTTTATTATAATAATTTACAAGCCCTGTTTATTAACCAGTTTCAGATATTCATTGTGGAAATGCTTTCATTTTTATACTTATTATTAAGATTGTAACAAATTATGATATAAAACAAACAATACCCATGGCTTGCCTCCCCAGGACCAGGGCCCATCTCCATGTCCAAAGTTCCATTTGTGGTGCTCATTGGGACCATTTTCATCTTGGTGGGACTCAAATCGTTTGCGAAGTGCAAGCCACTTGCAGGGTGGCCCAGCATGGATATCAGGGTTTTCACTTATGTTCACACCATTTTCCTAAAATATTCTGATTTGATAAGTGTGTATACATAATTTGCTTAAGTAAATGTCAAATGTAATAAGCATTGGTAAATAGAGTACTAACTAAAGAAAAGAAAAATAAAACATGAAAATGTGCTATGCAATTATTCTCAATATAGTATATCAAAAATCTATACAATTTAAATATGTCAAACAAACTGAGCTTTATTTACCTACATATTGATGTATTTTTTTGCAAACCGAATAACATTTACAAGTTTCAGTACTCATTTCATAACTTTATGTCATTTTAATCAAGCATGATCAAATATACATGAGGGGTGCACACCACATGGTATTTCATAATAATGTGATGACATTTCAGATGATTCCTATTTGATATAGATGTATTTGCAAAGGACTATAAAAATATACTACTAATATTCAAATTTCTTACTATGCACTGATGTATTATTATTTTGATGAATAATGGATGTGTGCAGAATATATAAACAAATACATTTTCCTTAAATGTATTTCTATAGTTATAAGGTAGGTAGGCTGACAATGTTTACAAATTCAATTGAAAATAAATTATTCAATGTACAAAACAATTACATACATATTTAGTTTTCTTCTAGAATTCTATGTTTTCCATCTTTTGATCTGAGTTAAGTAGACAAGTATAAGCATATAAATTCTCCCTTTAAAAAAAGTAAGGATGCCATATTTGATTATTTACTATATCTATTATCACAAAAATGAAAACTAGAAATGGAAATGACTTGAAAAAAAAAGGAATTTGTTTTTTTGTTAGGTGTGCCACACCAATTTTCATATAACATTTCATGCCAAAAATCATAGAAACTGTTGAGCTGCTTTTAATGAAACTTCTACATAATAATAGGTAAATATGATCTATAGACTCAAAGGTATATTTTGGGAAAAAATAATTAAAAGGGATAGTAAGAAGTCAGTTCCTATAAAAACATAAATTGTAAATAAATATATAAAACTGCCCAATTTAAATTTTTTTTGAAAATGTACTCAATTTAATTGTGAGGCCTAGATTTGTTGCTTATGAGTAGCAAGTTTTATTAAAACTTGTTCAGTAGTTTTGGTGATTAATTACATGAAAATATTAATAAAAACATGCTGTTAAACACCCTTACAAATAATTCCAGTGAATTTGCTATCAAACAAATAATTGGCATTTGAATAGTTTTGGCACAATAACAGTTAACTGTGAGCTACCAAGTTAACAAACTTGTTTTTAAGATAAACATTGTCAAGGACAATAAAATCAATATGATATATTACGAATAATTTTGATTGCTGTTAGAGTTATTCTATAGATTATGTTCAAAATAAGTTGTAATAGCAATTTCATTCATTTAACACTTATTGTTTCAAGTTAAAAGTTCAATAATTTAGCTTTCCAAAACAAGATGACATCACCAATATGGAAGATGCTAAACAAACGATTTGTAATGGTCTTCTAGACCAACAAGCCTACTTTTCATTCCTGCTCATTACCACCTTGTAAACAAAGTAAAAAAAAACGACTACTATGACTTCTTACAGATATCAGAGCAAATCTGTTTTTTTAGATAAGTGTTATGTCAGCGATAAAAATAAACTTGCCAAATGCATTGAAAACATACCCATGCTATGGCACCCATCCAATTTCTCTCTTGATGTTCGGAGCACCATTCCTGATGGTTCGGCTCATTCTCGTTCTGATGGGAATCAGAACTACCCAATGATAGCCACCAAGGTGGACTGTCATTTTTCTCCTCACAAAAATTGACAGCACCATTATTGACTACGGTGGAGCTGCATCTATCGAATTGATTAGCACCGCGCTCCAACGTATCCCGAAATCGTCGAGTGACATATTTCCACATATTTTCGAAAAAGATAGATTGATATCGGCACTCCATGAGAACTAATTCACTATAGAAACTCCATTATTGGAATTGAAATGTGAATATATATACTGATTTTACACATGTATATAGTGAGAAAACTAAGAATTGTGGAACTTTTTTATATTTATATAGGAGATAATAAGGAAAATTGTAATTTGCTTCAAAACACCACACTCTCGGGTGATAACGTAATCCATAGACTAAAATATACTTCTTATCATAAAGATGTAAAGAATATTCTACACAGATTAAAAATAAACAAATACTATTCGAAAACATTAAATTTGTAAGATACAAATTCCGATTGATTGATGATTATGCTTGTACCATTTTTATTTTTAGCAACGTAGGATTATGCTATTGTTTAATCAAAAAGTAATCTATATATTTTTTGTAAAAGAGTAGTTAGATCGTTGTCGTCCTTAGGGCGATTGGAAAGTCCATGAAAGAATATTAAACCTTCTGTAATGTAGAGCCCAACAGACATTACTAAAATTATTGAAAAGAATAATTCGAGTATCAATCAAATCACAGAAACTTAAGTTTAGCGGAAGTTGAAACAAATAATTTTGACCCTGTAAGGTTTTTTTTAATCTTTGACAATTCTGTCACCTCAATCCATAGATTTAGTATCTCGATCCTATGCGTAACCAAAGACCTTTAGTACTTAGTATAAGGTCTTTGTGCGTAACAGCTTAAAAGATTGTTAAATGTCATTATTGACATTTGTTTTGTTATTGTTTATATTATTGTTGAATTCCAACCTACCTGCTGGAGGAAATTTTGAAAGTTGGTTGAGAGAAATACCATAAATTTAATATTAACAATAATAAGCTAGCGTCATAATAACATGTGCGGGCGTACTGGATTGTAAGATAAATGATTTTATTATAAAAAGATAAAGTATGAAGCGAATATCTGAAAGTATTTTAATATCATACTTCCTATGTTTTCAGATCATTACAAAAGGAAAAAGTACAGTGCGCTTGCAGTTATAAGCCTAAAAATTACAGTCATTATGTCAAACCGGAATGGCTTCCAGAATACAATGCAGGGAAAGATTACGTACCTTCATACAATATTGCTCCAACCGATGTGACTCCAGTTTTGGTCTCTTCTAGCAGATTTTCTAATGTTGTTAACTGTGATAGAGTCCTTAAACCCATGATGTGGGGAATTATACCACCATGGCACAAAGTATGAAATAAAAGCAAACATTTTTAATTTTTTTAAATTTCCTTTTAATTTATTGCTTGTTGTTTTAGGGAGATTTTAAAACGCATAACTTAAGTACGAACAACTGTCGTCTTGAAAATATAAAAAGTTCCAAATTATATAGTCCAATATTGAACAGTGGAGGTAGATGTATAATAGTCGCAGAGGGATTCTATGAATGGCAGACTACCAACAAACTATCTAAAGTGAAACAGCCATACTATATTTATGCTCCTCAGCAGGATGGTGTGAAGGTTTGTGTTTTTTTGTTATTCTTACAGAAGTTTGACATTTTCACCATTTATGTCTCATGCAGCGGTGGTTTTATGCTTTTATCTCAGACCTGACCAGAAATTCTTTATTTTGATTCAAAAAAACTTTAGTGTTTCGGAATGAAATCCAACCATTAACTTGTGACAAATAAAGAGTCAATCCAAAAAATGTATGTATGAGTTTTTTGCAGATTGATGAGACTGACACATGGAACAACAACTTTGATGAAACTACAGGTTGGAGAGGAATAAAACTTCTCTGTATGGCTGGATTGTATCACATCTGGCAAAATGAAGAAACAGTTATTTATTCATATTCTGTTATCACAATGGAGTCAAATGAAACTCTAAATTGGCTGCATCACAGAATGCCTGCTATACTGAGCAGTGAGGAACAAATAGAGGTATCTCTTTTTTATTCATACTGTATAATTATGTTTGTTTTATCTAAAATCTGAAGTGTTTCTTTCTTTTATTAGAGTAGCATCAGGAAGTACTTGCCCTTTGCTTTGTCATTCCTATTTTTAGGAAAGTTATAAGCTTTTTCAAATGGAAAAATACTAGTGACTAACATGATTTTGCTTTTACAGGCATGGCTAGACATAGATAATGTTAAGCCAGACATGGCACTGGGTTATCTTAAACCAATAAAACTACTGTCATGGCACCCAGTTTCAACTGCAGTCAACAATTCAAGAAATAAAACTACTTCTTGTAATAAGAAAATATTGGAAGAAGACAAAAGTAAGAAAAAAACACAAAAAACACTACAATCTTGGTTTGTTAAAGCTGAAAAGAGAAAATCAACTGATAACAGTGATTTTGAGCCCACACCAAAAAGTAAAAAACATGAATAAAACACAATTATGAAATTATATTTCTTTTAATTTTGAACTTCTTGGAGTAATCTCAATCACAAGCTATATTATCACAAATTTTGCTATAAACATAAGCAAGTCAACACAGCCTTCTTTTAAGTGCTATATTTTTATTTAACATTTTCAATTGTTTTCAAACTTATCATTTAAGGCACAAATAAATCTGCCAACAAAAATAATGTGTTGCACTCATGACAAAAAGGCTGGTTTGTAGTTTTGGTGTTGGTTTTTTTTTTTTAATTAAAGTGCTCATAAATAGGTCATATTATTCTGTAACACATGATTGCACTTTTGGCAACAAATTCCACAACCATAGCTAGCTTGAATAAACTGACAGGTTATAACAGTAATATTGTATAGATTGGTAAGTATTGTTTGTAATGTTAGCATCCACATTTGCAGAAAATATTGTCCATTTAGGAGCACATCAATACATGTAGGCCACATAGTACTCCATTGTACAGAGTAACCCAAGATATGTACAAAAATACACTTATATATTTTCAATCCTGAATTCTTTGAAATCTGCCTCACACCTTATTGTTTTGTGGTTCTTCAAGAAGTCTGACACAAAACTGTTCACCTCATACTGTTCTGTAATTTGAAAAAGTATTTTCTAGTAAAAGGAAACTAAATAACATTTGATTTAAAAATATACAATAAATAGTGATAAATTACCTGGATATCGGCTACACTGATAAATAAGTCTTATCAAATGTTTAGCCAAGGCCTTGAATATTAATTTGCCCTTAATTTGACCCTTTACATAATATGGTGTTAACAGCTTCACAACCCATGGTGCAATTCTCTCTTTACAACTAATGATAAACTCATTGGTCTCATCTAAAGGAGACAAAATTTCTTCATCATCACTATCAGCCCCAAATAATTGCTCAAATTTTTGTTTTAACTGTAAGAAACAATTAAGTTATAACTCCTGGGCTGTGTGAATTCAGGTTTAAGTAACATGCAAGATTTTATAAAATATTATTGAAATGAATAAAAACATCAAAAAACATTATATGAATGGTGTATTGGTGTCTATATCAAATATAACTTTAAATTAGTGAAAAAATATGATTACTGATCCTACCTTTTCTAGTTCTTTTCTATCTCTATCACCTATTTGGTCTAACAAGTCATGTAACTTCTGTTTTAAAAAATATTCTTCACATAACCATTTGCTTGAGACTCTTCTCCTCTGTTTTTGTACTTCAGTTTTTTGTGCTGGAAGATCATTTGCTACCAATAATCCTGCTAAGCTAGCAAGTCTCTCATCTAAAGATTTGATTTGGGCAGCATGATTTTCTATAATGGAATCTTGGTTGTTGTAATTATTATTAAGACTATTATCCACTACATTACAATTTATTTTAACATGTTCATCTTGAATTGTCTCTGTTTTATTTTCATATAAAAGTGCACCATCAAATAAGTCATTATCATCATTGGTGTCTCCGTGGAAGAGTTTCTCTAACTGCATCATTAACTCGTCAGAATCCTGTGATTCAACTGAAATTCTTTTACTGGGTATGCTGGACATTGATGTGGAACTGGTAACTTGAGTTACTGTTTCACTTTCGGTAGGTATTGGACAAATTGGTCGGTGAGGAGTATTATTTAACACATAAGTTGCAGTTGACATACTTAAATCATCATTACTTGTGGCTTTATCACTAATCAAATTAGGCATTTGCTTTTCAACATTCTTTGGTGATTCTGACATTCCATGTCTCTTACGTTTACTATGTGCACATTGACAATTGTGATTGATGAATGTGCTTGGTGTTTGAGTTTTCTTACTGTTTTCTGGTGGTTTATTTAGACAGTTATATAAATTTTTATTTAATTTTCCTTTTTTAGTATCTCTTTTTACCTCTTCTATCTGAAATATAGATTAAATAGTAAATGTTTTATTGCTATCAAGTTCCAACTTCAATAAAAAAAAAATAAGTAGTAGTTAGTATTTTATACTACAAGTACTATAACTTGGAGTGCTTACCACTGATACAATATTTTTCCGGTATATTTGTACCACCATACAAGCCTGTGCTGCAGTCACTTCTAATTTTTTAGCACATCGCCATATGGCACTGGGAAGATATATGTTTTTGTTTACCAACTTTTGATGTGTTTCATAGTTTGTTGAAAGGAGTCTTATGATATACTCCATGTAGTATTTCCGGACCTGTCAAAATTATTAGTTTTTTTACAAACTTTCATATAATTCCAGATTTCACATGAATATGCACTTCTTACGGTTCCTACCTTTGAAATTAAAAGCTGTGGATTAGCTTCTATATCCGGTAAAGGCATACTGTAAGTTTCATCTTCTAATAATAATTGTTCAAAAAACAAATCATGATCAGATGTTTGACTGGCCATTATTAAAGAATTTCTTTGAACGTCTATTAAGACACTTTATTTATTTATTTAAGATACAATAACCGGCTTTCAAACAAATAAACAATATTTTCATTCTGCCATTAGATTTAATTATGGAGGCGTATGTACTTGTACTGTCAGTCTCTGTTATTAGAAGGTATTGTCACTTGTCAGTGTCAATGTTGTAAATGTCAATCATTAAAGGACTTCCATTAAAGATTTGTTTTTTTTTTTCTTTTTTTCAACTTTCGTTGGTAGTCTTGAAGGATACGCACGTGTTTTTTATCGGTACTACGATTGTTGTCAATTTTAGTGATCTTTTTCAAAGTGATCTAAATTGAAGCATTTTGTGTTGTTTTTATTGTGTTTGTGTGTGTTTTTTAACGTAGTAAGTAGTAGTTTTAACCTTTAATTATAACTTTTTCTTCCCTTTACTTCCCTCTTCTCTCCATTGTCCAAAATGGACGAGGAGAAACCTCCGGACCCTCCTGATAAAACGTTGGACTACCAACCAATTTTAACGATTACCCTACCCCACGATAACCCCGATCCCGAACTAATGGACTCTGAGTCATCAGCCAACAGAAAAAGATCAGCAGGCTCCCCACCTATCTCTCGTAACAACCCTCCAAAAGTACCTAAAAGCATAAATGGTAGGCAATGTTACATAGCTAAGGACAACCCCCCATACATCGTATATGTCTCCCTCAAGGACTCCCAGACTTCTGGTACCACACTGCACCCAGTAAAGTTCGGGATGTTCTTGATGCGGAACAATATAAATAATGTTAAAATTGGCGGTGTTAAACGATTAGGAAGGAACAGGGTTTCAGTGGAGTTTGTGTCACACCAGGATGCCAACAGTTTTTTAGTAAATTGTGTGGTGGCACAAAACTATACAACATCAATCCCACAATTCAATATCACGAGAATGGGTATAGTGAGGGATGTTCCCATTGAGTGGTCGGAGGAGGAGGTTATCAGCAACATTAAGGTTCCTGCGGGATGTGGTGTTGTGATAAAAGCAAGACGGATGAACAGGAAAGTTTCCTCACCAAGCGGAATGGAATGGAAGCCCACCCAAACCGTAGTCCTGACATTTGATGGCCAAATCTTACCCAAGAAAGTGTTTTGCTTCTATTCAGCGCTCCCAGTTGAACTCTATTCATACCCGACAATCCAATGTTATAACTGTTGTCGATTTGGGCACACCCGCACTTTATGCCGTTCAAAACCACGCTGCTTCAAGTGTGGCCAGGATCATCCTGGTGATGGATGCCAATTAGCTAGTGAGGTTGCACATTGTATAAACTGCAATGGCAATCATTTTGCAAATGACAGTGCTTGTCCTGAGCTGGGCCGCCAAAAGAGCATTAAAGCTTTAATGGCGGAAAAATCTATTTCATATGCTGAAGCTAGCCAAGTTTTCCCACCTGTCAAAAGGTCATATGCCGAGGTGTCTAAATCAACAAACTATATTGACTCAACACCAACCAAAAAACCATCCCAACAAAGAACCTCATATAAAAAACAGTACTCCTTAAACCCAAATCCCATGCTCCCCTTTCTCCTAGTTATGACAAGAAGGCCCATCAGGCCCTTATCCAAGATTATTCTTTTTCCCCATCCCAAAATGGTTGCGCTTTCCCAATGGAATTTGGAACCAACAAACATAGCTCCAAAGACATTTTAAATATTATTTCCAATATGTTGATAGCAGTGTTATCTAACCCTGCTCAAGCCGTACCTGACCACGTTGCACAAAGACTAGCTACCATCCTAGAGTATATTTATAAAATTCCACCCACTAACTCTCCTTCAGTGGAACGTGAGGAGTACTCTTCCCAGGAAGAGTGACTTACTCCATTTAATTAATAAATTTCAACCTTCAATTTGTGGCATTGCTGAGACATGGCTCCTACCGAATATTAATTTCAGGATCCCATGTTTCAGTGTTGTCAGACAGGACAGATCTGATGGTTATGGAGGTTGTGCTTTGTTAGTAAATAACAAAGTACCCTTCTCCCAGATCCCTCTACCCTTCGTTGGCGATGACATAAATGTTGTCGCTGTTAAGGCTGAGGACATAAACTTTTTTGTGTTTTATATTGCCCACCCCCAGAGTAGTCATATCATTTTAATTAAAAATCTATTAAGTTCAGTAAATGGTCCTTTACTTGTAATGGGCGACTTTAGCTGCCATCACTTTCGATGGGGGTCTGAAATATGCGATAGCATAGGTCATGACCTAGTAGACATGCTGGATGACCTCGACTTATGCGTCATCAATGATGGCAGCCCCACTCGTAGGCCTGCACTTGGTCAAAGAAACAGCTGTGTGGACTTGACTTTCTGCTCATCTAGTGTGGCTAGTTTGCTTAATTGGAGTTGTTTGGATATGACCTATGGCAGTGATCACTATCCCATTATTATTAAGAGCCCATCTAAATCCATTCCAGATAAATCCCTTCCTCCCTTATTAAAATACCGGCTAAACTCAGCGGATTGGGACCTTTATTCCAAACTGCTAGATCTTCGCATTTCCGCATTACCAATTGTTAACTCTGAAAACGCTTTGGAGTGCTTTTCCCAATTTTCCGACGTAGTAGCTGCTACAGCTAAAGACTGCTTTCCGGAGAAAAGCATCCCAAAAGGAAAAATCCCCTCCCCCCCTTGGTGGGATAATGAATGCACTGCCATGATACGAGCTAGGAATGAGGCTGAAAAGACATATAACCACGATATGAACCTGGAAAATCTCATAAACTTCAAGCGAATATTGGCTAAGTCAAGGAAGTTGTTTAAAAAGAAGAAAAAACAGAGCTGGCGGAGTTTCTGTTGTTCTTTGAACCCATCCACACCGGTGGCAACGGTTTGGCAGAGGGTGAAGAGCTTTAGGAACTCCTCTAAACCTCCTTCAATTTCCATCTTACCTGATAGTCTAAACCATATGTTCTTTGCCAACATTGCTCCTACTTATGTTCCCAGTGAAGATGAATGTTGTTGGGGATTGTGTGAAGACTCACATGACCCCCTTGACAAAAAGTTCACAATGGAAGAGCTCCAAACGGTGCTGAACCATGTGAAAGACTCTGCACCAGGCAATGATGGATTCCCTTACTCCTTCCTCTCAAAATCAGGAATCAAAACTAAACAGTACTACCTTGACTTGGTCAATTTTTGTTTTATTTTTGGCTATATTCCCCCTTCCTGGAAGGTTCAGGTTGTTATACCGCTGTTAAAAGCTGGTAAAGATTCTGGTGATCATTCGTCTTACCGGCCTATTGCGCTATCGTCCATCCTTATTATAATCCTAGAACACCTTATAAAAAACCGATTAGAATGGTTGGTGGAGGGCCAGAGACTGCTGCCGGTGACTCAATTTGGCTTTAGAAAGGGCTTGGGAACGGCCGATAGTGTGGGCACCCTCACATCGGCCATCCGACTGGCCCTTAGCAGGAGTGAGTCATTGGTTGCGGCCTTCTTGGATATTTCAGCGGCTTATGACTCGGTTCTCCTACCCCTTCTCAGGCAAAAATTGCAAAAGCTGAGAATCCCGAGTAGGATTTGCCAGATTATAGGCCATATCCTCTCCAATCGTACCCTCCAATTAAGAACTCCTGAAGATAGCCCTCTACAGAGAACTGCCTGGAGAGGGTTACCCCAGGGGTCAGTCCTTAGTCCCATCCTCTTCAATATTTATACCCATGACCTTCCCTCCTGTTTAAACTATGACTGCAATATCCTACAATACGCTGACGATATCGCGTTAATGGTCACCAATACCTCTATAACAGACGCCGCTCGCTCCATGAATGTCTCTTTATCCTCATTAAACCAATGGCTGGTTAATCATGGGTTATGTTTAAGTGCCCCAAAAAGCTCGGCTGTAATTTTTACGCGTAGCCGTCGCATTCCAGATGTCCGTATAGAAATAGACGGTCAGGTAATTCCGATAAGCAACAAGGCTCGATTCCTAGGCGTGATTCTAGACTCTAGGATGTCGGGGTTGGATCACGTAGACGCCGTCGTCACAAGGTGTGAACGGTCAGTAGCTGTACTCAGAGCACTGGCTGGAGTATGGTGGGGTGCCAACCCCTTTACATTGAAGCTCATCTATAATGCATTGGTCAGAAGCGTAATGGATTATTGCTGCTTCCTTATGGCACCTTGCAATAAGGAAGCTTTTAAAAAACTTGATTCCATTCAGGCCAAATGCCTTAGAATAATTATTGGAGCTATGAAGTCATCCCCTATAAATGCCCTACAGGTCGAATGTGCAGAGCCCCCCCTCGACCTTCGGAGACAATACCTAGCAGACCGTTTCGTTTCGAAAGCCCTTTCCCTTTCATCGCATCCCCTACTTCCGATCTTGGACCAGATCCACTGCTCCTATAATTCCTCCCCTTACTGGAACAATAAGTCTGTCCCTCCTGTGATTGTTAGGTACAGAGAACTTAAAAACCTCTCTGCACCCATCAGCCAATATCCTGTACTCCCGGTCTTTTCTTCTACATATGAGATTATCCACTTCAGGCCAAGCATTGTCTTGGAACTAGGCATTGCAAAATCATCAGCGAACGCCAACAAGAAATTCAAACGCGCGTTGAGCAATTTCTGGAGTGACTGGAATTTGTTCTACACAGATGCTTCTAAACTGACTCCTGAGGGATGCACAGGAGTAGCAGCATATTATCAGAACTCAAGGATTGCTTTGTTAGCCAAATATCCCTCTGAGGCTTCTGTATTTACTGGGGAATGTGCTGCTATTCTGGAGTCCATAAAGTTTATCAGAGCTCACAACTTGAAAAATTCAGTCATCTTCTCAGATTCTAGAAGCAGTCTTCAAGCTCTTGGCCAAGACCAGCTTCACTCCAGAACCTATAGTAGTTTAATCATAGAAATTAAAGCTCTACTTCTTGCGTGTCACGAGGATGGCTTAAAAATAGAAATCGCTTGGATTCCTGGGCACTCTGGCATAAGTGGTAATGAATGTGCGGATACGTTGGCAAAGTTTGCGGCCTCGAATAATGTGGAACACCAACATAACGTTGTGTACGGGTATGATATACGAGCGGACACAAAACACAAGCTTTTTAAATCTTGGGCTGCTGTGTGGGTGGACTCTTCCAAACGGAAAGGCGTCCATTACGCTAATATCCAGCCCGACGTCCAGCGGAAGCCTTGGTTTTGCAAATATACCAAACTCCCCCGACACACTATTACGACCTTGTGCAGGCTCAGACTTGGCCATTGTAGCAGTCCAGTATTCCTCAAAAAGATCCATGTTCGTGACAGTTCGCTGTGCGAATGTGGTCTTGATGAGGGTACCTTGGACCATATATTCTTTTCTTGCCCCTTAAACTCCCAATCCTTTGACCTCTACAAAAAACTCCCAAATTTAGAAATCCCCCTTCCAATCAATTTCCACTCCCTCTTAACTCACTTTTCTTATAAATTAATTAAATGTCTATCAAAATTTATTAATGATAATGATATTATTAAGACAATCACAAGACATGTTGCTGTTACCTCAGTTAAAATGTTTACAAAGTAATGTTTTTAAAACAAATGCCTTATATTACAACAAAATAGATTAAACAATCTCATGTGTTCATATCAATCCGTCGTTAATAAAGACTGAAGATTCATTCCGTAAACAAAAATCAGGGTTTTTGGTGCTCAAAATAATGAATAAGGAGAACGAAAATTTTCACAATAATAAGCGAAGGAAACTAGATGAAGATGCCTCGGAATCTCGTTACGATGATTCGGATTACTGGCCAGATACAGATAGTGACGATGAATCTCCGTCATCAATGCTGCCATCAATAAATGACACAAGTCCCCTGTCACCAATCAAAACAGAAGTACACGCAGCTAGCCGAAGATGTAGAGAAAATTCAGGGGAAAGCACAGCATCTCGATCCCGAGGTCGTGGTAGACGCAATACTTCCTCGTCTCCCGCACAGCATGTACCAGAGCCGGCTACTGACAGAGTTTTCATCTGGGACCTAGACGAGACTATCATCATTTTCCATTCACTTCTCACCGGGACTTACGCAACTAAGTACAATAAGGACTACGCAACCGCGGACAGACGCTTACAGTCACCATAACAGTTTCTAAATTCGCACATTTTATTTAATTTATTTTCAAAAATCAATTTTAATAAGTATCTTAATTTCTACAAATTAAATTAAATTCAGTGTTTACCCCAGATCGGGGTTTATGCACCCATTCAAGCACCTAATCAACAACTTTGACCTCGTGACCCTCGTGACCTTCGTGACCTTCACACAGAAGTCCCGGCATCATCGACGGCCGTGCTACTGCGGAGCTGCGAGCGACCTACCTACCCTACCGGCTACTGATTCAGGATAGTGGTGTTCTACTGGCGAACTAAAATTCGTTACGCGCTCGATATTCGAACTCACCCCGGCTTAACCGACACTACCTACCTACCTAATAAACCGTAACTGCCAAAAATATTCTTTTATTAAACTACCTACAAAAAAAAAAACGTTACAGTGGCTCAGTTGTGTATGTCCTCTTATTTATCTTTATTATATAATGTAAAGTAGAAAATAAGTAGATATAGTTTTACTAACCCATGTGTTGTCCTTTCAGCTACTAACAACAGACTACCACAAAGTTAAAGTTCGACGGGCCCATAAATCTGCCGTCACTACTTGACACTGGCAGTATAGTCGACAACATTAAATTGGAGACTCGGTTGCCATTAAAGAAAGAAAAAAAAAAAAAGATTTGTTTTTATTTTTTGTTCATTATTTCTCTCTTAGGTTCATTCAGATTTCAAAATATAATTTAACAGACGTGTAACTTATAGCACACAAGTTAACAATTGTGAAGCCCATAAAATCAGGATCGGACTAAAGTTGGTAGTTATACATAAAAACGTAAACAAAATGTATAAGGTGAGGTGGGGTAAGACTAACATACTTTTCTGCCAGACAGTAAAGATTGATTTTCATGGCTAAGTTATTTGACTTACCTCTGAGATAACAAAATAACTGATATCTAAATACTGTAAGCGGTTATAAAACAATGGATATATTTCCGTTAATGCATTCAAAAAGTATATTCTGAATAAATTGTAAAACCGTTAAATCTGATAGTCTTGCCCCACCAATTGGGGTAAGAATAACAGTAATGTATTTGAACTGAAAACGTACACTTATTGGGGTTTCCAAAGAAAAAACGCAAAAGATAAAAGTAATTATACTTAATTTGAACTATATTATAACGGAACAACGTTTATTTTTGCAGCAATTCGCTTATTACACTATTTGGGGCAAGACAAACATACTATCAAAATCAGAGGCGCAGAACCTTTTAAGTGATAGGTATCAATAGTATAATATGCATGAAGCATTACACATAAATTAAAAAGACAAACAGAATTAAATTGAATTATACTCTATTTCAGTATCAAATAAATCCACATAATTAACAAATTACATATTTATAATACTAGACCAGTAGAATTGGCCGTTTCTGGCCCACGGTGGGTAAAAAAACCTTAACAAAGAACGTCTCAAACACGTCCGCCTCCATCCAACCGTTTTTTGTGGCTGCGTAAACAGTGCCTGGGTAGTCTTCTTTAGAAGTCCACTCATCCCAAAGATTTTTTCCTTTAAATATTATTAGTGGAGAGTTTTATCACCTGCAGCACTGCACCCAAGCAAAACTGTTGTGTTGTCTTTACCAGGTGATGCAATGGTTCTCGTTGAAGCATAAGCTCTCAAGCCTACCACTATAGTTTTACTGGGGTCTTTACTAAAACTGGTTTCATCTAAATTCCAGATGTGTGAGGGTTTATTATGTAGTCCAAGCTCGTCCATAGTATTCTTTAGTAACTCAAAATAAGAGTATACCACCCAAGGATTGCATGCTTTTTTGCGAGAATTTTTCACTGCTTGCGGTTTGTTTACAGCCAAATTGTGTCGTTTTTTGAATCCAAAAACCAATCTTCACCCGGAATGCCGTTTTTAAAAGGATTTTTGATGATATTTTTGTTGACATAATCTCTAACAAGTTCCAAATTTTCTGTTCTCGATAACCCAAAGCCATATTTCTCCATTTCATGTAAGTTTTTTGGCCAATTTTTCAGGAATAACAGTACTTCTCCCTAAAGATTTTGATTTTAACTGCCCTATCTGTCTTACGAAGATGATTTCGTACCATTTTGTCCGTCGTCGTCTGTAAAGAATAAACGATTTTACTTTATCTCTCTTAATATTTCCTACCTAAACGATGGATCATCTTTGTTTTTTTTATCATCATTAGTACCTAGTTACCATCGACCTTTATCTAGTCGAAAAAAAGGGTCCGTACGGATACTTCGAAAGTCACATAGTCGAGTAATGAAATTCGACTGAACGTTCCATAATTTTTGTTCCCGATAACCCAAAGCCATATTTCTCCATTTCATGTAAGTTTTATGCCAATTTTTCTCTCTTCAGGAGTACCAAATGAAACCCAACCCAATGAAAAATATCCTTAACGAAAATGTTGCTTACAACTGACTTGGGGAAAGACTAACATAATGTTTGTCTTACCCCGGGCGAACTGGTAGTCTTCCCCCACTTTGATAGTTGTAGGTTATGTTTTGGTTTGGTAAAATATTAGAAAAAGTCGTATGTTTAATGTTAAAATAATAGAATAACTTAAAAGACAATATTAATAAGATGCTACTTACGTTCAATACTCTTCCATTTAACGTTTTTTTTTACCAAAATTTTGAAGAATTCCGGAAGCTCTGCCAAGTGCAACAAATTTATTTTACAACTGACATTTTCGTTTTGTTATGTTGGCGACATTGATGATCAGAAGTGCCATCTATGTTTTAAATCGAGAACTTTGTCAAGTGAACTGTTTTATCGACATGGCAAATTTAAAAAAAAGGCGGTGGTTTTCGAGATATTTGATAGTGATAGTCATGCCCCGCTGTTAGTGTTACCCCACCTTACCTTACTTACAATATAAAAATATAAAAAAAAACTACGTTTAAAAAAACCGACTTCAAAAACAAAAAAGTGTCAAATAAGTAATTAAAATTGATATTTTAATACCACTCTTACGTACGCGAAGCTAATACTTTTAATATTAATAATAAAACACTATCAATTCTATGTGCTACCTATTCATAGGTTTAAAGTCGGTGCCAAGCCTAATACATAATATAATAAGCATGATACATGAGTACCTACACTCGCCGGGCGCGTGTGAATTTATTTGTTAGGATTTAAGAAATTTAGTACCGATTTTGTAACTTGATGGCGTTAGCGTAGAATCAGAAGTCTATATGGTTGCGTTACTGGCGAAACTTGTATATAGCTTAGAAAGATATTTGTATGAATTATGAATTCTGAAAGTTTTCTCGTACTTGGATGTTAAAAGTTTAGTTGGACGTCTTTTAGCAGTTAAACAGTTTGAATTCTCATTTAGTTTTATTCTGTTTAGGGCTTGGCACCGACTTCAAACCTATGAATAGGTAGCACATAGAATTGATAGTGTTTTATTATTAATATTAAAAGTATTAGCTTCGCGTACGTAAGAGTGGTATTAAAATATCAATTTTAATTACTTATTTGACACTTTTTTGTTTTTGAAGTCGGTTTTTTTAAACGTAGTTTTTTTTATTTTTTACTTATAAGTGTCTGTTACAAGTTCTTCTGTAAACTACAGTAACATTTTAAATATAAATTAACATATTGAATAGTATATATTTTTAAGTAGCTATGTGTAGGCCTACGAAAGAAGCCGCTCGATTAAAAAATATAGATTCCAAGAAATGGGAAAGATCTTATCATCATCAGCCATTTTAATGTTCCCACTACTGGGACACAGGTCATCTCTCTAGAAGAGGGAAAGTTCTTAACAATATAAATAAATTAAGTCCAAACACGAGGTAGCTACTGTAAACCGTTGAGGAGTTCCCTAGACTGTCCTTCGTCTTCATCATCAGATCCCTAATGACAGTCACAATCCATCTAGGTGTAAAGTTCATATCAAAACGAATTAATTAAGCTCAAACACAAGGAAGCTGCTATGAATCGTTGAGGAGTTCTGTCGACTGTCTCTGGGTTCCATCCGGAATTCCCTCGACGGTCAATGGTCTCTATCATCAGGTAAACTGCAGACCTTCAGTTGTTATAATACATACAGATACGAAGTTTTCATCAATATAAATGAATTAAGTTTAAACACGAAGTAGTTACTGTAAACCGTTCAGGAGTTCCCTGAGCTGTCCTTCGTTCTCATCATCAGATCCTTAATGACAGCTACAACTAGCCTGCTGCAAAGTGCTCGCCAATACGAATCATTCAAGCCCAAACACAAGGCAACTACTCCAAATAGTCAAGGAGATCCCTCGACTGCCTTCCAGTTCCATCATCTGGTCGACTTCGACCTTCGTCAAGTTGTAGTGTTGTTAAAGGCTTACTTAAATATCATACAAAAAAACTACTCGCCCCTACAATTTTCGAAAGTTCCCCTTGGTTTCTCCAGGATTCCATCATCAGATCCTGACCTCATGACAATGGGACCAAATGGCAAGTATACCCTATCGAATAAAAAAAGAATTTCGCAAATCGGACCAGGCGTCTTCGAGTAATCGGTGTACATACATAAAAAAAAAAAAAAAATACTCGTCGAATTGAGAACCTCCTCCTTTTTTGAAGTCGGTTAAAAACTTAATGATTCCAGGCGTATCGCATTTCTTAGCCTTATCACTGTTTCACCAATACTCACTACACTTCACTATTTTACCTTTAATTTACAAAGAAATATTTTTATTAAATCATTGATATCGTTAGTGTTGTGGTATGTACATACTTACAAATCTTATCAATGGGCTCAGAGCAAGCTTTATCTTAAAGTTTACTTTAACGTACAGTGTGGTGGCAGAAAATGGAACGAGACGCAAATTATTCTTGTTTGATAGAACATATATATTATTATAGAACGTACATATTTTTTATTTATATGATAAACAATGTGGATACCTTAAATATGTGGCAACCCATTAAAACATTAATATTCTGACTATAATAGTTTATGTATAACTAGCTTTTCTTTGCCCGCGACTTCGTTCGCGTGGACTTCAGGTAAGTCCCGTCTAGTCTAGTAATAAGTAAGAAATACGGTAACTAAGCACTGCAGAGCCCTAATCATAGGTCTATAGGTAGCTACTGCAGTATGCTCCTATAAACTACATTTAACGATCTTTTTCCTTCAGCATAAACATGCAGATTCTTCGCTTTGGAAACGTAAGCGCAAAAAATGTGTTTTTTTACGACCTCACATTAACCTCAAAAATTGTAGCCTGTGTGTTATTCTGATGTATAAACTATATTGTGGTAAACTTTCATTCAAATCCATTCAGTAGTTTTTACGTGAAAGAGTAACAAACATCCATACATCCATACTTACAAACTTTCGCCTTTATAATAGTAGTAGGATCTGTGATTACCGTCACTATAAATGGAAAAGACTTGTATCCAGGCCATAAACTCCAAAAAAAAAGAAGAAATGAATGTCACTTGTCAGTTTGGACTTTAATTATCTGTGGTTTGCCGCCGTGCTTGTACCATACAACAATTTTTGTAAATTGGTTAAAATTCAGTTATTGTTTCCATTACAATGGCAGATTCTACCGTGACAGATGTGACTAAAATGAAAGTGGTCGATTTACGCAAGGAGCTAAAGTCTCGCGGTTTGCCATATACAGGAGATAAAGCAGAGTTAGTAGCTAGACTTCAAGCTGCAATGTCTCAAGATGAGCACGGCGACATCAACTTGGATTCTGATGAAATTGACTCTGATGGCGTCCTGGAGGATGAAGATGACAAAAGCCAAGGTGATATACTCGATGACAATGCTGTAGATACACTCAATGAAGAGTTAGCGCTTTCTGAACAGCCGTCTCCCGTAAAGCCCACGGTCGAACCTAAACCGCCACGAACCCTCAAAAGGAGAATAACCTCAACAGAAGTTTCTAAAGATAAAACTGAAGATAATAAAACAACTGAAGAAAATAAGGAGTCTGCTGCAAAAAAAATTGTTTTAAACAGAGCTATATCCATAACATCAGCTCCTGCAAAGCCAGCTGAAGACAAAGATGTAGCAGCAGCCGAGACAAATCCAGCAAGTAATAAGATAAAAATAACAGCAGATTTAGATGCTAAAACACGGATGGAAATGAGGGCAAAACGATTTGGTTTACCCGTAAAAATAAGTGATGATGAGAGAAAAGAAGCCCGTAAACAACGATTTGGCCAGACAGTGTCAGCTAAAAGTACAGCTATCTCAAATACTGGCACATCTGTGAATTTAGAAAAGTTCAAGAAAAGGGCTGAAAGGTTTGGACAGTCAGTCTCTAAAATAATGACTGATATAGAAAACCAGGAAAAGTTGGCAAAACGAAAAGCCAAATTTGGAGGATCAGCATAAAAATTAAATTGTAAATAATTACTGTAAACATGAAAAACTAATTGTCTGTACTTGATGCAGTTATTGACATTTTTGATGAACAAAATGTTAATAAAGTGAACTAGGTACATAGTATAATTTTGTTTTTTCAACTTATGTTGTTAGTAAATGACATCATCACTGTTAAGTGATGAGTCCATGTCCTCACTTTTAACACAAACTGCTAAGATGCATTAGTCACTTCAGATCATATTTTAAGATTTACCTTTAACTATAATTTTGTACTATAAGGGTATTACTGAATAAAAATTGACTTAAATTATGATGTATTATTTATTGGAAAGGCAACTCTTGTAAATTGGTTAGATTATGTAGAACAGTATCTTTGTTGGGTTGTGTTACATCAAATGCTTCTTCTATAACATTGGAATCTTGAGGTATGTGGATGGCATATTCCATATATGGTTCTTTATATAACAATGCCCATCGTTGAGCTATTTCTTTCTTCAATGATTTTCTAAAAGCCATACAATGCATGAACTTGGCTTTTTCATACTTTATTCTATTGAACCCAATTTGAGCCAAAGTGTATCTCCAGCATTTCATAATCTTGCTATTTGCTCCAACATGTTTAGAATCAGGAGTGTTGATAATAAGGATCCCACCAGGTTTCAGAAGCTTGTAAGCATTCTCGCATGCTGAAATTCTCAACTCAGATGAAGGTATGTATTCAAGGAGAAAGCAAAAAGTTATAACATCAAATGACTCTTTCTGTAATTGAGTTGCAGAAGACTCGTTTATTAGGTGGCAATTTCCAATGTCTACATTTAAAAAGTCACATTTCAAAACAGAAGAATTGGCAGGGTACAAATCTATAGCTAATACATCAAATATCTTATATACATTAAAAGGATTATAGCAACTGCCTACATCAAGCAGTTTAATAGGGTCAGAGAATGATTCTTCGAGGTCTACTTGCAGACCAATATTCTGCGAAATTAATATTTCTTTATCCCGATACTTCTTATACAAATGGTTATTAAAATATTCATTGCAAAAATCAACTGCCCATTTAATTCTAGAGGTTGCTTCACTTGTATCACTATTGCAATTAGTTTCCCAATGCGTAGTGGCTAATTTCTGCATACATTCGGCATATTTTGATAATGTGTCTATTTTATTACAATGTTCGTGCCATGCAATGTCGGCTCCTTGTTGGAAACTTGATTTTCTCAGTGATAAATGCACACTTTTTATGTAATCTGAAAGCCTTTTATGTTCTTCACTTGCCATGTTATGAATAAATTATTTCAGATTTAATTGAAACTTTATAACTAATGGATTATAATAAAATTATAAATAAACAACCTCAAATTCGATTTATTTACAATTTTACCATTTCTGTCATGAACGTCAGTGTCAAATAATTAACCATCGACACACAACTGTCAATTTCAAGAATGAAATATGTTGTCACAACAAAAAATTTATCTTCTTACACCAGAAATTCGAGCCAGGTTTAGTCTAGTATTATTGAAGCTAGCTATGCGACATTAATAATTTTGTACTGTACATCTTTTGCATAACTTCTTTTGTACAATAAACTAAAAAGTTATGTTTAACAGTTAGAACACAATTGATCAATTCTTTTTAGAGATTCTATTTGAGAAGAATACACCAAAGAATATTTTTCAGCAAGGTAGAGAAAGCTGCAAAGCCTTCTTGGTTTAGGATTGTCAATATCCACCAGATAAATGAGAAAGTGTACCATACTTTATCATAGATAATAATATAAGAATCATTTAATATTACCATATTAAATGATTCTACTGTACTTCTACTGTAAAACTCCAACATTGTAGACAACATACACTTTCAAAATTATATTACAAATACTTAGTCGGGTCATAAGTTCTGTCAAAACCTTATATTTTTAATTTTCGATTACTGGCCAGAAATTCTTCGACTTATTTTAAAAATAGAACTTTCGCGCTTGTAGAAAATAAAAAAGAAATTATTTTTTATTCATTTTTAAATATGGAGTGGTCGAATAAAGAAGACAGAATCGCGGTTATCGCGTTGCACCGCTGTGGTTACGCGCCAAAAGACATTTTCAATATTCTTCAAAATTTGAAAATAACGTTACGGTTTGTTTATCGTACTATCAAACGATACACCGAAGAGTCAAGCTTCGAAGATCGTAAGAGAAGCGGCCGACCTCGCACAGTTCGGACACATAAGGTCATCAAAGCAGTGAAGGCGCGAATCGAACGAAATCCCGTACGTAAACAAAAAATCCTAGCTCTGCAGATGGGGCTAAGCAGAACCACTGTTAAAAGAGTACTAAATGAAGACCTGGGACTACGAGCTTATCGTAAAAAGACAGGACATTTTTTGAACGAGCGTTTAAAAAAAATTAGGCTAGACAGATCCCGCGCTTTGCTACGACGGTACGCGGGAAAAAAATACCGCGAAATTCTTTTTTCGGATGAAAAAATTTTTACTATTGAAGAAAGTTTTAACAAACAAAATGATAAGGTGTATGCCCACAGCAGTGAAGAAGCAAGCGCGCGTATTGCGAGGGTCCAGCGTGGGCATTACCCTTCCTCATTCATGGTTTGGCTTGGAGTCTCATATTCAGGCGTAACTGAGGTGTTTTTCTGTGAAAAAGGTGTGAGAACTAGTGCCGAAGTTTATCAAAATACTGTCCTAACAAACATAGTGGAACCTCTTTCTCAGACAATGTTCAGGAACAGGCATTGGATATTCCAACAGGACTCTGCACCGGCTCATAAGGCACGAAGTACGCAAGACTGGTTGATCGCTCGTGGAATTGACTTCATCCGGCATGAAGACTGGCCCTCTTCTAGTCCAGATTTAAACCCACTGGACTACAAGATATGGCAATATTTGGAGGAAAAAGTCTGTGCTAAACCTCACCCGAATTTGGAGTCTCTCCGAGCATCTCTGGTTAAAGCAGCGGCAGACATAGATATGAATGTGGTGCGTGCAGCGATCGATGACTGGCCGCGTAGATTAAGGGCATGTGTTCAAAATGGGGGAGGGCATTTCGAATAATGTAAATAAAATTATATTGTACATTTAATGACCTTTCATTTCATATATAATTTTTAAATAATTGTCAAAAGGCGTATAAGTTATTACATCAAAAGTTTGTGACAGAACTTATGACCCGACTAAGTATAACTTGTTCATGCATTACCATGTCCATGTTTCATGAATGAAATAAAACAAATTTGTGGGCTTGGTTGCTATTAATTTAGTAAATAAAATACATTGCATAATATTATAGAATTTAATTAGGGTACATACAAACATTTTGTAATGTTGGAGTATAATAATCAAACTAATAAGCACTTTGTTTGAGTAGCTAGTGAAAATTTGTGGGTAAGTATGTATGTATGTTCTCAACTGCTTTATAAAAATAACTTTTGAGAGGAGTCAGTGTTTACCGTGAAATATGTTTAGTTGCTGAATAAATTAAAACAATAACTACACTTTATATAAGATAAATACAATACTTAATTATTTTAATAACGACCCTAAACAATCGACGTCAAACTTTAAAGATTGACCATTGTCAAAATTTTATTATAAATTTTGAATAATCGGAGAATTATTTTAACTTATCTAATCTTAATGCAAATGCAATTCAATAGGACTCCTCTCGTACGATAATAATTTAATAACGATGCCCTATGCGTATCATTATTCTTTAAAATTTAATCGTAGTTAAATCGATTAAAACATTCCATCACTATTAAATCTCTACGATAAAGGAAATCACACGGATATTTCGAAAGCCAACAAAACAAACAAAAGCGTCCACTAATAAGTGTTAGCGTAAAACAAAGAAACGAGTCCAGGTAACGGTGCGTCTCCGGCCGGGGCTCGCGACACGCCCGCGACTCCATATTTACAACGGATAAACACTAACAACATCGACGGCCACAAACTTTACCCTCCGGTGCGTACCTCGTGGACTACCGTAACATCTAACGAGTAAACATCCAATAGTTTGATCCACCGACGTCCGCGGGCGGCGGGCACGGGCGGGCACGCCGCCGCCGCTCCTACCTGCCCTCCTGCACTCACGCACGCCGCACCACCCTCGCGCCGCCGCCCGCCGCCCCGCCGTCACACGCGCTCCGCCTCCGCCTCGCCCCGGCACGCCACCTTGCTGCGCGCCGCCGGCTTCACGCGCGCCGCCACCGCTAGCGGCGTCGGCGGCGGCGCGGGCGCGCGCGGGGCCGCCGGCGCGGGCGGCGCGGCCGGCGGGGGCGGTCGCCACGCCGGCGCCGCGCGCCCCAGCGACGCTAGCACCAGTCCGCGCAGCAGCGCCGCGCGGCTCTCCGCCTCGGGGCCCGCCTGACTATCGCTGGCGCCTGCGAGAAATCCACGCGTTACAACCGAGTCAAAGTCAAATCGAACAAAGTTTGAGATCGCCGCACTCACCGAGAAAGCCAGAAAGGAGAAATTGTGAATCGCTAGGTTCGGGTTGTGGTTGGGGCTGCGCGACGGCAGGCTGCGGCGCGGGCGGGGGCGCGCTACCGCTGGCTCCACCGGTCGCTCCGCCTGCGCGCCGAGGCAGTCGCTCCAACTGTTGTCGAGCCGCCTGTCGGTGATTAAACTATAATTAATAAAATTGGGTTCAACGTTAATTGGTACAATGTCCGACACGACAGAATATAGAAGCGATAGTATGCGAGTGCGGAGGTCTGACCGTGGCCTGTTGGCGCTCGAGTTGCAGCTGCATCTGTAGCTGCTGCAGCTGGCTGGGCGTGCCGGGCTGGCCGGCCCCGCGCCGCACTCCCGACAGTTGCGACAGCAGCTCGGCGATGGGGTCCACGACGGCGTCGCGCGACGACGGCGACAGCGACGAAATGCCGCCTCCAGTGCTGTAAATAATCACAACATATTAAATACGTTATTAGAAGACGAGGTAATTTAGTTCAACTGAGTAATTTAGTCGTAACGTAGTACAACATTTAATTTGGTATGCTTGTTTGACAAATAATTTAGACTATTCTTATATTCAAATAGCTTTACTAGAGGACAGACAGACAGACTGACACGCCTTTTTAAACCTCAAATAAGTTTTTTTTATTTTTTTGCTTGACGTACCAAAGTGCCTGGTGTGGTCTATTTGAAATAAATGATCTTGACTTTTATAATAATAAAAAATAGATAAACTATATCAAAATCAATTAAGCTAAACTATACTACTACTACTCAGTTGAGTTGAAATAAGAAATATGTGTGGCTCAGTAACACAGAGATTAAAAATTTTCATAATAAGTATAACATAAGTATTTTTGTTTTTTCATTCAAGTTATTATGGTCCTTTGTGTTCCATTATTGATGTGGGTATTAATTTTTGAAAAAAGAAGCGATGGACATAATTTTAATATGTCCAAAGATAGGCTGGCTGTGCCACGGTTCCGTCTGTCCAAAGTACAGAAATCCTTTATGGGGTTCTGTGTAAATTGTTACCATAAAATTCCAAGAAGATCTAAATGAACGAAAATTTAAAACTTATATTAAACGCGAATGGTGTAGACAGGCATACTACAAACTTTCAGATTATATTGAGGATAAGAATGCCTGGCAGCATGTTGGTTCGGCTCCACTGGACAATACTCAAATATGTAGTGAGTAGTTACTTAAAATCTCAAAATTAATGAAACCTTGAATGAGTTTATATAGAAGCATTCTTTTGGATTGTGAGTACGCATATGTGAGCGCCATGTTCGAGACGACAAAGGATTAAAATTTTAATGATAGATACCATAATTTGTTACCATAATGTGTTTTGTATAAAAAAGGTATTATTGGTGAATTGTAATACAAATATTTTTTTTAAAAGAGTAAATATGGAGTTTCTTTCTCGTTCTTCTCCATTCGAAACTACAATTTGAAACGAGCACCTAGCTTCACTGACGAGCAGACTGACAGACTACTATTCTATTTTGACGTTTCAAAAGTACCTATTTATAGTTTAGTTGGAATACATGAATTTGATTTGATTACTTTATCAATAAATTTGTTGCTCAAGTCATAAAATGAGTAAAGATACTGGGCAGATCAACTGAAGGAGGTGGACAGAGGTACCAAAGCAAGAAGTAGTGAGCTTTAAGTCACACGACACGGTATAATAATATGACAAACAATAGAAAAACATTGTATCTCGCGTGTGTCTGCGTTCGCCGATCACGATACCACGGGTTAATTGCAGTTTGTATTTTTTGTACATATGCATAAAAATGGGGGGAATACGACAGGTGGGTTTTGGTCTGGTTTTCATAATTGAAATATTTTAAGCTTTTAAATATTCACAGCTACTTACTTGTATTATTAGGGTGGCAATGAAATAATCACATAATTGACAAACAAACTCATTTTACAAACTAAATAAACTCATTTTTGAATCATACGCAAGCTGTGTACAACCTACAATGTCAAGAAGTTGAATGTAAACTTAGTAAAATACGAGTTATCATTAATTTGTTCATGTTCTTAATTATGTTACATGGGTCTATAATGTCTAATGATAGGAGACCACCTCCTTTTTAAAAGGATGTAGTCTCTATACCTAATCATCATCATCCTCATCGTGGTCATTTAGTATGATAAAAAAATTCGAACATTTGAACAACAACAAGGAATTGACGAAAAACACAGACGACTACATTTTTTATTCGTAAAAAAACGAATATTCCCATTAATATTGTTAATTTGAGTTTGTGAGTATGTATTTATGTATGTTTATTATTCTTTCAAGCAAACACGGCTGGACCGATTTGCTTGGAATTTGGAATGTAGATAGGTGATAGATGTAAATAGATAGATGATACCCTTTTTTTTTCAGGGGAAAATCATCAAATGACTTCTCCCGCCCAGGGCCGGGCGGGAGGAAGTGTCAGACTCTTGCTGACTAAAAACCCCCCTGTTCCTTCTCCTGCTCTGGGCCGAGGTGGCGGTGACTCATTGCGCTAACCCGCAACCCCGGCTGAACATCAGCCCTATAGGTCCCCGTATGTGGTGGTCTATTGGTTCTTAGAGGCGCGCGCGGAACGCTATGCGCCGTAAGCTCGGGTCTGGTTCTGGTCGGGCAGCGAGCTACCCGTACTCGCCGTCCGCAGACTCGCGCTTACGGTGGCCGGAGATCATCTCTCGATCCCCGACGCCCGGAAAGTCGCCTACTACAGCGGCTGGGGCGCGAGGAGGGTAGTTCCCTCGAGCGCTCCGTTTCGGAGTTGCGTTGAAGAAATGGCTTCTCAGTTCCTCTCGCTACGAACCATGGCCTCGACTAAGGCCGGGCACTAGACGTGCTCCACCCAAGCAGGGCACACCGCCATCGTATGCTCCACCGTGTCCTCTAGGTGGTCCTCACAATGACGACACTCAGGCGTTTCCTCCCGCTGGATCCAAAACAGGAACCTACCGAAGCTGCCGTGCCCGGTAAGCACCTGCGTCAGGAAGATGAGGACGCCGTGGCGTCTCTCAAGCCAATCCTCAAAGAGGGGTCTCAACGCTGCTATAACAGCGTGCCCGAGATAAATGATACTCTGGATTAACTTATAGGCTGCTATAATAGACTACTTTTTAAAATATTAGCCGCGATCAGAAGCTATTATTAAAATAAAAATAATTAAAAGTTTAGAAGGAAAGTTCGCTACGTCATCGTTAGGTACAAAATATTCCTTCTTAGGTCTAGCCGGGGTTGCGTAGGAGAAGTAAAGGGGGTTTTAGTAAGTAAGAGTATGAAAATGTCGTGGTGGCAAGGAGGTTAAGCGCCCGCTTCTCGTGCTTGAGTACCGGACAAGTACCTATATGACTTTTTCCGAGTCATATGTACTTTCTATGATTATTTAGACACCACTGACAAACGGTGAAGGAACACATCGTGAAGAAACCTGAAATCGCCAATCCGCCTTGAGCAAGCGTAGCGATTATTGCTCAAACCTTTGTATAGATCTACTCATTAAAAGATTACTCTCAAGCTGTTTTTTCGTTACACGCTACGTTTACTTCAATCAAATTACGCTACGCATTGCATTTTATTACAGTAATTTATATAAAAAATATAAAAAAAGTAAGTGAATATAATTAAATACACAAGAGAGCAAGAGGAAGCTCAGCTTGTGTTTTATTAGTAAACACGATGTAGTAGAGATCACGACGGTAACAGTGAAGAAAAAAATATTGTTTAAAAAAAACACAATTAACAAAGATGATAAAAAAATGTATGATAAAAAATTATAAAAACAAAAAAACACACAGTCTCTATTGTGTCAAATGTAGATAAAAAATGCCTTTCAAAGCACATCAAGAAAATGAATATTCCATTTTTCTGATAAAATTTGTGTAATGTCTGTAAAAGCATAATTACTGGACAGTTGCTTGTCATAGTCAATATTTCTAGAGCAAAGTTGATTTACTAGAACAATCATGGAATAACCCCCATCCAAGTACAAGTGGGCTGCTAGCATTATATTAAAACCTCTACGCATAATATACTACAAAGCTCCATGACAGTCTGTCTGTTAGTGTCAAACTATCATACCAATAAACAAATTGTGATTGTCACTAAATTATAGTAATTTTTATAGAAGGTTTAAGTAATCATAATTTATAATGGATAGATATTATTGATTCGTCTCGAGAAAACCATAAATAACAGGATTTATATCCATAGGCAAGAATAAGATATTGATGAATGAATGAAGATAAAGCGCCAGTAGTAGTATGCCAGAAAAATGTTTGTTCTATTGTTTGCCTACTCCTAGTGTAGATGGAAGAGCGTCTAACATAAAAGTGAAGGTATAAAAATGTATGTTACCTAAACTGCATATTAGTACGCCGCGCACGACTCACGCCGCGGCCGGAGTGCGGCATACGTCGTACTCCTCCGTGCCTGATACCGCTTGGCTCATCTTACACAGTTGTTAAGGGAAATATTAACAAAACTTGTGATTAAAACTTAATTATTCATTTTGTCCTGTGGGTCCTTCATCCCCACGAAGGACCCACATAAAGTGTTGTTCCGTGCGGGAATCGACCCGGGGCACGTCAAATTGCCCGACCACAGCCCATCAACCGTGCGGTCGCATTAGTGACTATTATAGCTTAATTTTGGATGATATATAAAAATCTTATAAGATGAAAGTTTTGATTATAAATATGTTTTGAATAGTTTCCATATTTTCTGTAACAATATCGGTACCTTTGTACCGATATTACGCTAATGGATAACTAAGTTATAAATATAATAGCACAATTGGTGAAAGTATGGTGTGTCTCCCATTAAGGGAATAATAGATGCAAACTTTTGTAACCATCCTGTAAAAAAGATATTATTATATTTAAAAGGATATTAGAAACGAAATGAGATCTCTAGGACCAGTCCTATGTTCCAATGTAAGATGTCCGGCAAAGTCATCGGTCACAAAATTTGGTTCCCCACCAGGCATCGAAGCACATACTGGACACACCACCTGTTAATAAAAATAATTGAGTAAATAAATTTCCCTAAAAGAACTTAAACTTGAAGCAGAGGGGCTTGAGGTGATTTTTTCTTTATTCCATTTATGAGTATCATGCAATAGAGGGTAAGCCCAGTGGGCAGCATTGCTGAATTTCAGACCAACTGAAGAAATGAAGCCCAAATTCCTTGATCTGCAGATTTTTGCAACATCTTGAACAGTAGAACAGTATGGAACACAATTATACCTTATTTAATTTACTTAATTAAAAATTTAAGCTGAGAACTTGCTTATTGAAACAATTAATAACTGGATAACATTTACCCAGTTATTAATTTTTTGGTGACAAAGGTGTGTTTTTCGTGATAACAAAATATGCAAAAAAGTACAATAAAGTTAGATACAAAAAAGTTGTGCATAAAAAAATAATAGTGATTAAATAATAAATTATATTTATGCATTAAATAGGGTCAACTTAAAAAAGGAAATAGGGAAACAGTATTTTCAAAAGTTTCTTCTAAAGTACAGATATGAAAATTTGCATCTGTACTTATTTAATAAAGTAAAATATTAGTTTGGTTAAGGTGTAGTAAGGGTAAATTATTAATTATGATAATATGAAATTTACAAAATGGCATAAGAAATATGATCAACTTACAGCCAATGTAGTATCTGCATGTTCTGCGGTAACATGCTCCATGAGTGTTGTGTCAGTGAAGCCCATCCGATTGCAGAATGGACATGTGTATGCTTGCGGTTGTTCCAAGGTTAATGCCTCGCCACCATAGTACAGATCTGAAGATGACATGAAATTCATGAAAATGGTAACCATCTATATTAATAAAAAAATCAACAAAATATTGATTATACTTTAAATGCTAAGATTGGTAAGAAATGTTTATAAACAAACATTAAAACAATATATTTCTTTAACTGTTTTGATTCCAAATGACATGTTTGGAATCATTTTGACAAAAAAGCTTTTTTTGTGAAATGTTTATGTAGGCTTTCAACTGACGAAATTCAATACTTACATGTAATGCAATAAAAACGTAATTTTGTATGAGACTGAACTTTTAAATGATACAATAAATACCATTATTTATTACTTTAATTGATATATTATTATCTTTGCTTGAGAAAATGATTTTCTTATTTTTATGCTGTGGCCTATTTGTAAAATCTATGCACTAATTTTGGCTGTATGTTAATTGATAAACAAAATGCCAACATTCTTCACAATATAAAAGTATTAATTTATCATACAGTATCATGCATTAGGTAATCATCATCAGCCTATAAGTGCCCACTGCTGAGCAAAGGCCTCTTCTCATACAGAGAAGGTTAGAGCATTAATCACCATGCTTGCTCAATGCAGGTTGGCATTCGGTAATAATTTTATGAAATTTTCATGCATTCCACTTGATGAAAACTTGATATAAACATATATGTTGTAGATAAGCAAGCTTGACTGATTTTGTTCCTTTATTTTATCTTCGTGAAATTTAGAAATATCCCCAATAAGCCAGAGTCTATTTAGAAAGTGATCCACAAAAAAATATGGTTTTATGGAATGAACAAGCTTGAGTCTTATAAGAATACAATGAGACCAAGTATTGAAATAATTATTGGAAAAACAAATGTTTTGTTATGAAGATGTCTTTGTCCACAGATGATTTAGATTAAACAATATTTTGTTCTTAAAGTTAGTGTTTGAACCTTTTGTTTGCCACAGCAAAAATGTATGTCACATAAAGAGATTAGGAATATTTTTATAATTTGACACTGCCTTGCATATAAGCATGCTATCTATGTTTTTAACCTTGCATAGATGTAATGTATAAGTATTTGGCATATAAGATGCACTCTAATATATATAGCACTGTAAATAGGTCTCACCAAAGTCACTTCTAGATAGAATGCATTGCATTGGGTGCTCTGTAGTGTGTTGGTTTGTGGTAGCGCCGGACTCATAGCAGGCTGCGCACAAGTCATAATCGATGCAAATCAAGCATTTGTATCGTCGTCCTCTGAAGTTATTTTTCAAACAAGAATCACAGCTGACTCCTGAAAATATGTCAATATACACAATACAACAACAATTTGTTATTTCTTTTCTGTTTAAGGCAATTATAATAAAATTAACTGCATAAATCATAAAATTGTGTTAGGATGACAATATTTTCATAATTTTTTGCAATGAAATTCGCAGTGACAATAGCATCGAACAAATTTTGATTATCATTACCCACCTTCATGGCGATTCATTTTCGCCAGAAAATGTCGTCGAAACAGACACTTCTTGGCACCAGGATTGCCGGTACTATATGAGGTATTTATATTACTAATCTAAAATAAGTAGCACAACATATAATATACTAAAATACAAGATTGTTAACAAAAATTTCCAAGCAAACCTAACCCAACCAGGCCATAATGACGTCACATAAATGAATGAACCATCGATATTGCTCTTTTCTTTTCAAAATTAGGCAATGGCATGACTTGTTCAGCTAATTCTGTCATTCCACAAATGTTAATTATTGATTCCGATATTTACTTGAGAGTTTTTGTGTCACTTTACATATTTTTTTGTTTATTAACTTTTTCTAACCTTAAGTTTAACAAAGCTCTTAAATCCACTATTTAGAACGAGAGAGTTATGTCACTGACATCATAAAACTATGCTTGTTCAGTATCAATATATTTTCTGTTGGAATACTTTTATTGTATATCACAAAAATATATTAGAAAATTCAGCATTTTATTTAAAACGAAAAGTCATCGAGATTCTTATTAGCAAAACACCATAGAGTGAATAATTTACAAACTGAACTTAGTAAGAATTTTTATGTTTCTCTCTATCAGTCTATTGACAATGATTCAAACAAATGTCATTCGGACATAATATACCTAAATGACACTATTGACAACTATTTTAAAAAGTAACTTTCGTTTCCCTCATTTTTGCTTTTTTTGTTGTCCTGTGGCTGTAAATTTGTATTAAATAAAGTGTTTTGCTTTGTGTGTAGACGAAAAATTTAATCGCCACATAAAACTGAACTAGTTCCCCTGAATATTGTATATTATTATTACTCACCTTTTTGCGCGGGAATCGGGGGTTATAGAGTGTAATGAAATTGGATTTAACAACGTCTGGAAAATGACTGATGCACTGTGCCATTTAGTTGTAGATGGAAATGAGGTCTTGGAATTTAAACTGGGTAAGAACATATTACAAAATAAACAAGATCTTAATTAGATTCGACTGCAAATATCTTTGAACATTTGCGTTAGCTGTTCTGCGTTGCCATTTCCTGCCAATGTATGGCGTGAAACATTTCATACTTTACGAAAAACGTGTTTAATCTTTACAGGACACTTAAATTAATTATGTTTGTTGGTTGTAATTTCAGTGCGAGAAATTGAAGATCTAGAAAATGACGAAACAAGTTTCGGTCCCGAGATGTGTCATCAGGTTTTCGGTGAAAACGAAAACATATTTGGGTACACGGACTTGCACATAAAACTTTTTTATAGTGCAGGTAGTCTTCAGACATATCTTGGGATTGAGTACACAGAAAAGGTAAATAGAATCATTGAATGATTATTATTGCACAGTCCTGGCTTGAATTAGATCATCAATATTTGTGGGATAGGAATGATTAAAATGGCAGTCAGGTTGACTTCACTAACTTTTGTCTGTACTTTTTTATAGATTGAACCTAACAAATCTGAGGGTATGAAGGCAGATGATGTTGAAGGGGCTCTAACTAAAGTGATTGCACCGGGATTTACCACTAATTTGGACCACTTTGTTTCTAAGCTAAAGAAAGATGAAACATTTGTTCCCTATGGAAAGTTGATACATGCATTTCAAGCTACACCATGTAAGTGTGTTTTTCAAATGTTTATAGGTTTGTGCTACTAAATTATAAATTTTGATGTACATTTACATGAAATACATAATAAAACAAACAATGATGTAACTTTGGACCTGTTAAAACTGTTTATTAATCATCTCTCTTTGATTCCAAAACCTTTGTTTATGTAACAGCCATTGGTCTACATGTAACACACCACAATATTTCCCAAATTTCGGTGTGTTATATGTAGACCAATTTTATTTCATAATGTTTTGTTGGTAATGCAATTTTTAAAAGAATTGTCATGTTAAGGTAATTATTATTTTTGCCTTGAGATTATTAATTCCAAACTAAGAATAATTTTAATTTTTCAGCTGATGGTGGTGATAAAAGATCTTTTGAAGTATATTACAGTGAAACATCTACCAGTGGTTTTCTAGATTACCATCAGAGGTTACAGACCTTCTTGCTGTGGTATATTGATGCAGCATCCTTTATTGATGTTGATGATGATCAGTGGACATTTTTCACTGTGTAAGTATAAAAGTAAACATGGTTTAGTTTAATTAAACTGTTGGTCTTTTTGTCTTTGCCTACCCACTTACATTATGATATAATTAATGACTCTAAAATTGCAGTTTAAACCCCAGATTTCACTATGCTAGGGTATATTTTACTAGCTAAAGCTGCCTATCATGGAGCCCTCTTGTATCCTACACCTATTAAATTAATTCCTTGTATTAATTTCTTTAAAAGGTTTTCTTACAAGTGCTGCTCTTTGGGATCCCAATCCATCTGAACTGTGAACTGAAACTGTGTGTTAGTAATTTTTATGTTATATTTTTGCAGATATGAGAAGTTTCAATCTAGTGAGGGTGGTACCAGGTATGCTACTGCTGCTTATGCCACTGTGTATCGCTACTATGCGTACCCGCGTCATTCCCGCCCCCGTATCTCTCAAGTTCTCACTCTGCCACCATTCAGGAAGCTTGGCATCTGTGCAAACCTTTTAGAGGTATGGTCTTGTTCTAATACTGTAGGGAATATTCAAGCATGAAAGTTTTGTCATTGTATGAATATGAATAAAAGGATTTTTTTACATTATACAATAGTAAAATAAAATCTGATTTCACATATTTTATATGTTTTAGGCTCTAACTCTATTTTTTGTTACAGGCAATTTATGCAAACTTCATGATTCAACCAGACGTAGTAGATATTACCGTGGAAGACCCATCACAGGATTTCCAGAGGATTAGAGACTATGTTGACGCCGCAAGTTGCGAAAACCTTCCTGCTTTTCACCCTTCAAAACTTGTACAAGGGTAATTATTTTAATAAATTACTGTTGTTTCATAAAGAGGCGGTCTTACAAAATAAAGTTAAATGTACCAGAAAATTCAATAATCAATACAAATATTGTTTCAGTTTCTCTCAAGATATGGCTGTCCAAGCTTGTAATAAATTTAAAATTAATAAGAAGCAAGCTCGTCGCATATATGAGATACTTCGCTTGAAGAACACAAACACATCAGATAAGACTGCATACTTGAACTACAGGCTTGAAGTAAAAAATAGACTGAATGCGCCGTTCCAGGTTGGTTATCAGTTATAATAAATTTAATTATATTATTGGTCTGTTATGCCAATATATTAAATGTAAATTGTGCATTGGTTACAGAAAAAGAAATTAGAAATGAAAAAACTGCAAAAAGTATTAAAGCCTGAAGAATATGCAGCTACAATAAGCGCAACGGGACTGAGTGAGACCCATGGGCGTCTTGCCAGTCAGTACCTTGCACTCGAACAAGAGTACAGACGCGTCATTAACAGGATGGAGCGAAATTATTTATAAACCACAGGATGAAACACCGACATTTTCATACACTTCTAATAGAGTTTAATCCTTGACTTGCTTACTCTATTTGTGATGGTCAAGAGGGTTTTTGGTGTCCTTAGTCGTAATTTTATTATAATTACTTATACCAGTACTAAAATAATTACGAATTAACGCCACTCTATTGAAATAAAACTTAACAATGTTAACAAAGACTTGGTCTTGCTCAGTTTTATGGTTCTAGTTTGTATTGAATTTGAATTTACTCTTTTAAATTATTATTATTATTGTACCGTTTGTCAGGTTAAACAGCTGATCTCAGATTGTGTCTTTGATGCCTTGTTTAATGAACACATTACCTACGAGATCATACTTATTGTTAGTGAGTATTTAAGATATATTAGTGTTAGGCCAACATTCATAGGATGGTGACTAAGCTCTTGTTACACCTGGTTCTAAACCAATTTGTAAATGAAGGTGTTTTGTTAAAAGTTCAAGAGTGTACTGGAAAACAATTTTAAATGTTTATTGTGTGCCTTAAGAACATAACACACCTAATCGTAACTTCGTTGTTTAGGTGTGAGTAATGTGTTAATTCTTTCGGTTGTCAATATAATGATTATCGTCTTATTCAGGACCTAATTCTGCTGAAATTGTTTTTGTTATTAAAGTTTGAATGTAATTTTTCGTAATAAAACTCGATTTGAAAGTAATCATCTTTATTTCTTTGAATAGTTGTCCACTAAAATAGAATGCAATCTTACTATGTTTGATGCTCTGTTAATAAATCACTAGTGTGTACCTGCGACATTATACTTTATTGGTCTGCACTTACTAAAAAGCTAGTTACAATTTATTACTCTAGTTTGCTGACTACATCTACTTAGTGAACTATTATTGATACAACGTTAGAACTGCTTTGAATAACAATATTTGATACAGCCACTACACAAATGTTACGGTTTAATGTTGATATTATTTGTGTACACATCTGAATAGTAAACAGCTGCGCTTGAGTAGTATGCATTATTATTTACTATGTTATACACGCAACTCAATTCAACACTTAAATGATACAAATAATGCCTGGAACAACAAAATACTTAAAAATAAAGCTATTTTACTACATAGCCCTTTACTTGTTCATTAGTTTAGAAGATAATTAAACTTATATTACACATTAGTCTGCACTCAATCAACTATTTGAGCAAACTAGAATATCTTTGACTTTACGAAATTGTCGTATGACGGTATGGAACGTGCTACGGAAGTCTGTATAAATTAATAAACCATACACAGACAAAAAGCACAAACAAAATGTTATACTACTAGTATAAAGTTGAGAGATTAAATACAGGCTAGTCTAAATACAACGACTATCCCCTACGTATTTAGAATAATCATACCAGGCTCCCTATTGTGCATTGATAGGCCAGTGCTAGTTATTAACAAGGTCCCAATTACAACCGCTACATAATACTGACGAAAGTTTCCTACAAGAAAATAGTACCCTACGTAATCTCAACACAAATACCACTTTTGAATAATACTTTATCCAAATATGCAGTCACTCACGAATCTCTCTCATATTACCGCAGGCCGATCGTGTCGACCGCATTCCAGTCTTTAACTTTCTCTCAATGCAAGGATCCTGTACCAATGGTAACAAAATCCCTGGTTCAAAAGTGGTATTCGAGTTAGAAGCGAATTTAACATGAGAACTTTGAAATACATTATTCAACTTTATGTCTCCTAATGAAGGCGTAATAAGTCACTCGTTTACAATATTGATTGTTTCTAGTAATCTCGACGTTACCAGAAGAAAGTAGTGACACCAGCTGCTATATTACCAAAACAGTTTTGCAAAGAGATTCAAGGTGAAAGCACATTTAGGAGTTTTTGATAATATAGCAACTGGTGCCAACATCGCTGATTTTGTTTCAATTGGACGGTGGCGAATCAACAATTTTGTCTTGAATTGAAATCAGCTAGTAAAAATATACAGCGATGAGATTTTTTAATATTTTGGAATGTATAGTATCTCAATAGAGAGCAAAATTTTGTGGTTTTGATGAGTATAGGTATTGTTGCGAGCTTTAACGAGAGCGGGACATGCTGTCGGCCACGTAGTAAACCTCACCGAACCACTCGCTGTGCTCGTCCAAGAACCTGTCCAAAAAAAAAAGATTATTAAGTCACCATTTTGTTAAGGTCTCAACCGATGATTTAAGGCTAATTTTTATTATTTTGTCGTTATTTATTTACACTTACTGAACGAACATATCGATGTGCTTGAGAATAAGTTTCAATTTGAAGTCTGGCATCTGAGTAGCGTTCAAAAAATCAGGTAATTTCACTGAAAAGAAGAGAGAACTTTTAATATAACTAGGCAAAAATACCAAATAAGTAGGTATTATATATAAAGATATCAAAATTTTAAATACAAATTCATATATACATATAAAAATCGTATACCGAAAAGTCTGGCAAGATGTATGGCGCCGTATACGCGGCATGGCAAGTGTTCGGTTCCCTCGCGAGGAATTATCTGCCATTTTGATACCTGGGAACAAAAAAACCTACGTCAAATTCTATCTTATTTATATTCCTATTCTATTCTATCTATATTACCTATTAATTTTTTTATACTATAATTCTGTCTTGTGGCTTTATATTCAGATCAAACAAAGAAAATATGGATAATATTTTCCAGTAGTCGAAATTGCGACACTTAGCGTAAAAGAATCAGTGTTTGTTGCCTCAAGTGTATAAATTGGATGTCTTTGAGGCCCGAGTGAAACGATTGTATATACAAAAACACGCCGACCCCGTGATTATGATTGATCTTATCATCGCTTATTAACAGGAAGGGTAGTGGCCAAACTCTACGTCCACCATTAAATAGAAAACGGACCATATCGTAAAAAATAGCCATGGCTTCAAACGTCAAAAATACAAAAATGCATGAGTAATAAAGTCCTGTGAAGAGGGTAGTTTTAATTACCTTATCAAATAGCAGAGACAGTGGAGTACGCGTTGTAGTAGGAGCCGGAGTGGACTGAGTGGGGCGCGCCCAGCACTCGCTCAGCGACGATCCGCTACTGCCGACACTAACATTCAACAAAATATAATTAGATGTGTCATATTCAGTATGCTATAAGTTTATACATATTATTTTATACAAAGAGCCCGCTCCTGCTTCGCACGGTACTCAAAGTACCTCGTTAAAAACGAAGTCGCCATTTTCCCCTCTATTACTAGAATTTCTTCTTCCATTAGAACATACCTCTAACAATAACAAACATAACAACAAAATAAAGAATGAGCTAAATTGGTTAAAGCGTTGTTTATGAATGCGCTTACCAACACATTTTGCTACTCTTTTTTAAATATATAGATTTATTTCATTTACTTTTGCTCAAACGAACAATAAATGATCGTATGGATCGTGTAGGGTATGTCAATTTTATAAAGGTTATTGTTACTGTTTGACTTTCGATTTCAATAATTTGTTTACTTTTGGTTTTATTAAAATGAACGAATCGATTGAAAAAATGTTATATAGAAGAAGTTTTTATGCTCACCTAGACGACATGGTTTCGAACAGCCTCGGCTCGCCAGTAGAGGTCGATGGAGTAGGCTCTTCGTTTTCTGACTGAGACACCACCGACTTATGAGACCGAAGCCTGAAATTAATTTTATATATATTAGTTAACTTAAACCGGCGTGAAACAACCCCAGCCCCACACGGCGAAACACGAATGTTTCGCCGTGTGACTGAGTTTACTGGCGGTCCAGTCTTTCCCTTTCTGCAACCCTAGTCCTCAAAAGACCTTGAAGTCCGAGAATTGCACTACTTAGCAACTCTTTTGGTCTTGCCCCATAGCCACTCCATGAGCGGCAACAAATGTTTACCATCGGGCAATACGTCCACCCTCTTGGCTTTCTATCACATAAAAAAACGTCAGATAATCCGCCAGCTCGTTTTCAGTCCTATGACATATAAAATCTTTAAATGTACCTACCTTCTTGCGACATTGCCACTGCGTGTAGCAGATCTTCCTTCACGAGGTTTGGCCGAGCCTGCCACCTGGTTATCGTCGGTAGTGGAGTCGCTGACGGCTGTAGTTTTTTCATTATTTTCCGTCTTCGGTACCAAAGCCTCCTCATTGTTGCATTCTCCTGTTTACGTTAAATAGGTAGTAGGTAGGTATCTCGAATCGGAAAACGCTTTTGTACTTAAGTATCATTCACAGTTATTAAAGAATGAGATCATCTTCATTGCATTATAAAAAGAACGAAATACTTAGTGTTTTCGCCCAAATACGCAGGGCAAAGTGGAAACTTTATTTATATAAGATAAGTGTGATACCACGGCCTCACAGTAAACCTCACAGTGAAACAACCACAGCGTTTTGTGTCGCCGTGTGCGAAATGCCTAATCCCCAAAACTCTGTACTCGTACCTCCTCTGTTGCGGGTGCTTACCATCAGGTAATCAGTCTGCTCGTTTGCCGACCTATTACGAATATTCGTGATACTTACCCTCGCTCTTATCAGCATCCATGGGGTCTGGTGGCAAATGAGAATACTCCGGTATCTTAGGACTCTTGAGATCTTCTTCAGCTGCAGTCACTTCGTCCTCGGTGCCCATTTGTTCATCTTCATAGTCATCATCCGCTTCCAGCTGCTGCTTCTTCATTTCTTCTTGTCTAAAATTATATAGAATTATGAGCATACAAGACGTGCATCCGTAGTGTCGTCAGACGACCTGATAAAAGTCGCAGCGAGCCAATGAATGCCGGTCGCTTCCAACGGGACGATCTGGAAGTTATTGGGTCATTTAATAATTCTAAGCTCTGCGCTAGGTAGGTGTTTCCTGTTTTCAAAGGGAAAAAAGAGTTTAGTTACTTACTCGTCAATGAAACGTCCGCAAATCTCGTGGTACTGGGCCAGCTCTTGCTTGTAAAGCAGATGGCCGCGCAATATGAAGTCAAAATACACGCGAAGACCGTCAGCCACCTCACGGACCAAGTTCAGTCTGGGAACAATTATCAACGTATCACTATAGCAAGTAATATGAGAGATATTAATTAAAAGTACCTATAAGTCGGTACTTAGTGTTATTAGATGACAAATGAAAAATACAAGGCAGTATCAACTCAATCTTTAAGTATAAAAGCATTAATGTCGAAATTGTATAAAAACCATTAACGTATTGAGATAGTTATGTGAGCGGTAGGTCATACCTGCAGGACACATCAAGCATGTCAGGTTTCTGCGGCGGGTCATGGCGGGCGCGAGGAGTCGCCCAAGCGCCGGCACGAGCGAACCACTTCACAAACGACTCCAAGATTTCGGCCGCACATGGGGTCGCCGGCAACTGCGACAGTCGTCCTCGTTTCACCACCAAGTGGTAGTCAAACGTCAGCCGATCACTGTAGGTAAACCACAGAACTTATCACACACATCGCAAATAGACCCAATTAATAGAATCTTTCGCTAAATTAAGCTGACATTGAACAAATTATTTACAATATACTAAGCAATTGCAATTTAAATGAACGTAGGTATTCTGACTGCATTAAAACTAGAAATCACCAGTTGTTTACCGTAAAGCTGAAGGCAGCGTGATGTGAGCTCGCCCTACATGCACGTTGGGTGGCGGCGAGCGAGGCTGGGAGCTCGACCCAGATGCCGACGAAGAGTCAGTA